TATAAAATTTCCGGCTGACAGGTCGTTAGAGATAAAAAAAAAACTGTTTAAATGTTTTTTTTATGTGACTTTTAAAGGGTTAGATATGTCTTTAAAAATTAATTAAGAATCGTTTTAATTTCTTTGCCAAACTTGTATTATTTTTTAAGTTCAGGCCGCTAAGCCGCTAGGCCGCCAACTTCACGCCGCTAGGCCGCTGGGCCGCTGGGCCGCCAACTTCACGCCGCTAGGCCGATGGGCCGCTAGGCCGCCAAATTCACACATCTACATGCGCCTATAATATTGCTACCGTCGTTATCTTCGTTGTCGATGCGCACTTATCATGTATTGCATTATATTTGTAATCAGTGAATATATTGAAGCATATGAATGCTAAGACACGTCAAATTCGCCAAGTATTGATCAAAATCAATTATTAATTGTGAAATACTAGTAGTGTCGACAATGTAAGTGGCAGGTTTATAGCAAATTAAAGGTACTTACAGGAACTTACCATTTTACATCTAGAATGTTATCTAAATCACCGAACATAATACGCTGTCCTCAAAAAAGATGCAATTAAACATATGGCATATTAAAGTATGTGAGTTTGATGGTTCAGAAAGGAACACATGAAGTTGCAATATTACATGATAGTGCAATCAGTAATCATAATGCTTGATTGTATTCAGCAAAACGTAGGTTTTCATTGTCCTAAAGAAGTATGGAAGCAAGCATAATGAAAGTCCAAATATCATCAAGCAAGATGCACTTTTTCTGTTTCATAGAAAAGCGTTGTTACGCTTTTCATTTTTTTGTCAAGTTTTATCAGGAAAATAGAGCGAACGAATGACACCGTGAGTAAGAAATGTGCAATTAACGTAAAAGTAACGCCAAATCTGTGCAACGCTATTGCCTAAACGAATAACACAGTCAGTAAACGAACCAACATATTTTATTCTAAATCAATTTTTAAGAAATGAATTAACGCATACGGCTGTTACGATATTATTCTTTAGCCTGTATTACATTTTTTTCAGGAATACCTTTACTCTTTTTGATCATTCGTGAGAAAGACAACATGATTACTGTTTTAAATTAGACTTTTGTGTTTCATCAAATAAATATGTACATAAATTTAACATATTTAAAACATTTTCTCTTCATATTCTGTAAATTTAAGACATTTGTCAAACTACAAGTGTCGCATAGCAAAAGAAAGAAGCTGGTAAAATAGGATATACCTACTTTTAATGAGATAACGCCATTGCTGCAGTGCTTCATTCACGAATTCGGCGTTACCTCGTAAAAATGCTCTCAAATTATGTTTTATCTGCTAAATTAAGTGTGATATGACACGGGTAGATTTGAAAATGTGTCAGGTACACCGAATATAAAAATCATAAAGTAATATGTACTTTATTGTATTTAAAGATATCAACGAAACTAAAAATCGACATCAATACGCTAGTCAGGTTGTCATTTTCACGAAATGATCTTGAAAAATAAACCTTTTCAATGGAAATACTTTTGATGAGGTTTAAAGTATAAGGTCTCAGCAGCCGTATGCGCTAACTCATTTCTTCCAATTTGGTGTACAATATAAAAATATTGGTCCATTTACTTATCGCGGTGCTCGTTTTAGCCACTAAATTGCACAATTCTGCGTTACGTTTGCACAATTCCTGCGTTATTTGCATATACCTGCGTTACTGGATATACACGGTGGAATGATATGAAATAATGAACACAAATTATTAATGTAGACCTGTACAAATGGAACATTTATCATAAAAAAATCCCAGTGCCGTCCATCAAAAAACCTCAGTGGGGTCCCTGTAAGATAAAAAGAAATCATATTTGAACTGCATGTATAAGATAACATATTTTATGAATCATATTGTATATATCCTGTTATGTACATGTAAATAATTGTAACCACGCACTATTGATAAGGAAGAATAAAACTGCGTAGTTTGATAAAATCATATGCGATTACTCTTATCAGTTGAGATTGGATAAATTTATGAACATAATACAATGTAATATTATTATTATGTAAACATCAAAGGAATGCAAGCTCTGTGGTATTTTCTGATCTTTGCAATCTAAATCGTACTGTATATCTGTATGTATTTTCCTGTATCAGTTTATTTTGATATACTATATTTTATCTTGCAGGGCACCGAGTTGCAGCAGCGACGGCGTTTAGATTTTTTGCTATAACAGTTTGAGTTTGATACATACAGAATTTTGCATGACCAGAGTTTCTAACTTGCATTATAAAATCATTTATGTACATATTTTATGACAGCCCCACTTAATCCTTGAATATCGTGGCTAATTCCTTAAGAAAGAATGTTAATATCGCTTAAAAGACACTTAAAAAAATAGTTGCCTTGACTGGGTTTTGAACCCCAGACCTCTCATTCCTAAACGAGCGTGTTACCCCTGGACCACGGACAGTTAAAAACAGTTTTAAGCAAACCAAATAATTCTAAATTTAGAAGTTCCATCAGATAGTTTGTTCACGGTTAACCTGATGTGAACATCTTCTCGCCCAAACAGTCCGACATGTACGAGTAGTATTTCACTACTCGACAGTCAGATTTTTTTGTGTAATACGCGCTGAAGTGTGACCATAGCGGCCTTCGTTAAGCGACATCACTAAAAAGACCGTTTTGTTTATTATTTAACTAATATGACCGTTATTAATGGTAGAAATTGATTATCGATCGTCGACGGCCCTAAATTCGTCCCTGTCCTTAGGTCAACATCCTTACTTTATTTTTCAGAAAGTCTGAATACAAATGTTCATTTAGGCGGCGTTTAATTCCGATCACAATAATCCGAAGCTTTACGGAAATAGCCGAGCAATTTTCATTGATTAAAATGATGTTCGTGCGTTGTACATTTATTAACAATTCTATAAGCAAAAGCTACATTCAAATTTTGAATGCGTTATAATTTACTGAATACTTGTAACAAAATGAAAATATTTCTTTCTCTTACATCGCTAGTTTTAAGCTGTTTTGAGAACTACTTTTGTTGTTAGGATTGTCGCAAAGCGCTGTTCCTGATATTGAATGTCAGCATTGTATTTCCTGATCTGCGATCAGAAAATACCAAAACGGTCGCAAATGGAGTACAAAATAGTATAATCAAGTGGGCCTTACATTCTCTGCACTAACATGGTACTTTGTTGCCACATTCTTCACTGCATACCCTGTAGTAGTGTTCTTGCAAAGATGACGGAGAAATAAACACCTGTTTACAGATAACACCGGATGCAGCACACCGTGTCGAGATACTGCATATCTACGTACATATATATAGCTCATATTTGTAAGATGACCATGATGGTAATCGTCTTTACTTCAAGACCTCGACCACAACTACTTGACGATGCCTACGTCTACAAAGTCCTTATGTTATCTTCGGTCACGACTCCAACTTTAGTAAAAGTTGTTATCTATGACGACAACGACCATGGTCACTAGTATTCTAGAATGTTACGATTACCTGTATAGCTACAACCTACTTTTCGACATCTAGTATTACGACGTGTAGATTTAAACTACGGTTACTACTACTCTTTTACGACTACGACTATTACGACTCTATGACTACGACCACAACTATTACAATAACGACCATGACAACGACTTTGAGAATTTCATTTACGATTACAGGTTCGTCAACGATTACCACCACCTACCACTCATAATACGATCACGACAAAATCGTCAGCTATGACCACCACGATGGTTATGACAACTACGATCTTGACAGAGAATTTTACGATTTCAAGTGAGATTATGACTTGTACGAATACAATTACAACCGGCTAAGACTTCGATTACTACGGACTCGACGACTTCGACGTTAACTTCAACTACGACGATGACGACGAACAAAAACAAAGGGGTTATTATTTCTCATAATCGCAAACCCTCTTCTGCAGTCAAAAGAGTTTTTGTTTATTGATCAAACAATATTTTTGTTAAAGCCAACATAATTTGAGCCATAAAGTGACATTTCCTTCCGACGATCAATATTCCTACCAAATATGAAAAATACTGGATAATAATAATAATGAATTTACTATTGCTAGGTGTAGTGGTAAGCATACTGGACTGGACATAATGAATTTATTACATAGACAAGAAAGAAATGTAAAAGGAATGTTAAGAAAGTCACTATTTCATTTATATTTGTTAAAATTTCGATTTCGCATTAAACAATGTTTAAAAAATGTTAAATAATGTCTTGCAAAAGCTAAAGGAACTACTGCCATTTTATGCATTTCTTAAGCTTTCTATATGTAAGGCTTGCTTTTAATTTCAATTTAATTTCCTTCTTCTTCATTGTATGGTCCAAACGTTTTGTACATGATAACTTAAAACGAAAAACACCTAAAAGCATATAAATGTTGAATGCATGTATGTTTGCAGCTGAATGTACTATTCTTGCGTAAGATGTTAGTGCATTAATATGATGTGCTGATAAGATTAACGTCACTTCTCTTCAAATATTGTCTTATGTAATATATATACTTTTATATCTTTGAAATTGTTCCTTTTGTATATAATTATGATGCTTTACTTTGCTTATTTCTTTTCAATGACTGTTTTATGTAAGAACATTCGGAGGCAATAAAGATGTATATAGTTGTAGTGGTAAGCATACTGGACTGGCAATCCATAGACCCGTGGTTCGAATCCCGGCTCCTGTGTGCCGATTTCTTATGTGTTTTTTTATGTATAATTTCGCGCACGTGACCTTCTTTCTTATATACATAAGTTGTATGCGTTTTCTACCAACTTATACAGATCACGGGTAAAGTATAATCGTGGATAGTTTTGAGTGGTTAAAGATATGATTTTATTGCTTGTTTACAACTTTTAAGTGCAAATTGAAACATAATAGTAGATATTTATAAATCATATATAATAATGATGATAAAACAGATTAGATAATTCGCACATTTAGGTATAAGTTGTTACACATTGATTTCATAGTGTACTCACATAGAAGATTAAACAAATTTTTGAAAGATAAAATTTTTAAATACTTTTTGCGTATTACAATGGCGGTTACAAAATTTCAAGTTCCTAAGGACTGTTTTCCGCGACTGTCTTTCGCTTCAAGAAACATTCCAGGGATAGAAGCAAGATTCAATAGAATGATGAAACAGGCTGGAATGACTGGTGAAAAAGACCGCCATTGCAGTAAAACTGATACAGTTATCATTTCTATATACAGAAAAATGGACGAAAATGACACATTCACAACTGAGAAAATTGTGAAACGAAATTCAAGCAAAATTGTTGAATTGATAGACGAGTTTCATCAAAAGAACAAAGAATGTTTGAAAATTGCTATACTTACTACTATGGAAAAAGAAGATATCTTAAAATTAGTATTAAATACTAGTAAACGTTTTGAAATTTATGTCGCGCGTTCACAAAAGCATGCACAGGAAGTCAAAAATGTTCTTAATTCAGAGGAGGTCTCTGTAGTTACTACAGCAGAATCACTCGCCAGTGCAATTGATGATTATTTGGAACATGAAGTGTACAGACCGTTGATGGAATACTACAAGATTTTACAGGATTTGTTGCACTGTAGTCTTGATGAAAACGTGGAAGGTATGTTTATCGAAAAAGTTAAATAAATATATGTTATTTCTTTCTTTTAATTTAGACCTGTTAACATGATTAAAAAATTAAAACGAAATACAAACTGGAAAAAGCAATTATCAAAGTACTTCAAGCAATACAAAATTCCCCTACCGTTTAGAACCACAAAAACATTCTGAAGGGTCAGGGTCATTCAATTATGCCATTGTGGAAGACGTGACAGAACTTATATCTTTTATGTTCTGAATTTGCCTGTATCATAGTAATGTGTTAAGTTCAGGAAATTTTGCATAAGCAACAAGTAATCGACAGATCCAATCTTCCCAGAATGAATATGTATTACTTATGTTTCAACTTTTCTCTAGTTTAAGTAAATTTGTTGAAAAAGTTCCAAGTCTCTATATTATAAAAAAAAATGTGCATAATCTCCAGGCTGCCATATGTCAAATTTCAGGACTTATTGCTTACCACGGCGTCTAGTATTTTGGACGAACGGACGGACGTACAGACTGACAAAAGATTAACGGACGGACAAATGGACGGATGGGAGGTGAACCTAACCCCCCCCCCGTTAAACCGGTAGGAGACTTTTAATAGTCACAAAATGGCATTATCCTTAGATAGATACAAGTATATTTGTTTCTGTAAAAATAATTCAATTTAATTACATGGAAACAATGACTGCATTAAAATATTACTGCTGAGACAATCAGAAGGTAAAATCCCACCCTGCTGAGACAACCAGGAGGTAAAATCCTACCCTGCTGAGAGAGTCAGAAGGTAAAATCCCACCCTGCTGAGAGAGTCAGAAGGTAAAATCCCACCCTGCTGAGAGAGTCAGAAGGTAAAATCCCACCCTGTTGAGAGAGTCAGAAGGTAAAATCCCAATCTCCTGAGAGAGTCAGAAGGTAAAATCCCCGCCATGCTGAGACATTCAGAAGGTAAAATCCCACCCTGCTGAGACAGCCAGAAGGTAAAATCCCACCCTGCTATTATTTCAGTTTTAAGTATCACTTAAGTGATTATCCTGTCCGTGTTTTGCCTTGTGCCCTGTCTTGTTTTTGTTTGGGGTCCTTCCTCCTTTTCGCCTTTAGAATGGAAAAATTACAAATCACGTATGTACAACAAACGATGTAATGATCCTTATTTCTATTCTAAATGTTGCAGACAATGATTAAATGTAGTACGTTTTCAGCTCTGACTTTTATAGATAAGCAGATGATTTCCAAGTTTGAAACACCAAAAGCGATACCAAGAGGAACGATTGAACAACTGCTAGAAGAGATTATGGCGTTGTTAAATTCAAGTCATATACCACTGGATCAAAAACCTAAACAAAAGAGCGTCACTGGACCTATTTCAGAAAAGGTAGGTCTGTAAAATGCATTACTGTTCCGGAAATGCTACATTCTTCCTGTGTAAAAACATTTAGTACATGGGAAAATGATTTGATTTAGATTTATAAAATAAAAGTCTTTATTCTTTTAAAAGTGATCATATGCTTGTTCCGAAAATGAATGAAATATAATTTTAGCTTTAATATCAATATACGTTTATGCACATTTTATTTATGCCATCTTTTTAAACACCTATTTTAGGTAAGAAAGGCACTATTTGAAACTTGTCCAACGATAAAGGCCGTAGGCTTCCGTTTCCAAAAGGTACACGTTTATCTTGAAGAAATAAAAGATAAGAATGAAACAATACAACGCGAAAAAAACATTGAAACATTTATGGGAACGCACAATATTACAAATTATCGTACATCAATCGTTTATCCGGAAATGAAGGAGCTAATGTCTGCTGGCTCAGAAATCATAGCCCGAAACAAAAATAAAAACTTCAACAAGTCAGGTTCTCTTGGATGTATAGCAGAAATGGAAGCAAAGGGTTCGAGGACAGACGGCATACTTGTTTCAAAGCATGTTGTGTCGCACTGTTCTGACGTTTTTCTTGTCGAAAACGGGTCAGAAAGAAGGATTGCAAGTGTCATTGAAAGTACAACCACACAAGAACATGGATCGCTTGATATAGCAGCTGCTGAGTGTGTTGTGAACATTGATAATGACGACAAAAAATTAAAAGATTCCGTTGGTAATCTACGGCGCGGAAAACTTATTGAAAACATTGAGGCTAAACATGCAACAATGTCCGGAATAAAAGTTCATGTCTGGGGATCGAAATCCCAACCCGGAAAGGGAATTGTTACAGATACCAATTACACCATTGAGGGAATGAATGCCTGCCTTGTTCAAATACAAAATGAGGAAAGTTATCCAGGTGCTGAGGTAAAACCTTTTGTAGTAGAAGGAGATAGTGGGGGAATCATTTGTTCTGATGATCCCGACGATGAACATGTAAATGCACACGCAATGCTTATTGGTGCGGATTCAGATACTACATACATAGCTCTTCCGTTGGATAAAGGAATCAAACAACTTGAAGAACAGACAGGGAACAACTTCACCCTCTTTAATTAAAGAAGAAAACCCTTCAAACTAAATATGCGAAATTAAGTTTGTCTTCAAGTAACCAAGACTTCAATAATTTGCGAATGAAATGAAATCAAACATGACAATACATGAACAGCTGGCGCTCGCGATGCAATCTTGATCGACACATATTGCGGTTAATGGATTGTTGTTAGTTCACGAATGGGGGATTACTGTGATTTCAAGGCATGTAATGAACAACATTTCTCTAGAGGTCCGACCTAAACAGCATGAACTAATGGGCTACATTCAAGTGTTCACTCTGCGTTGCGATTTTTCCTATTTAATTTCACATGATTGACCTAGTTTAAAATGTGTCAGTGTCTATTCTAGGACGGGGTTGGGGTCACTCATATTTTAAAGACACTGTGTACTCGCGTACAACTAAAATTTTTAATTCAATTTTAATATTTTACTCACATGTAGTTTTGAGTTTTAAGCTTTTGTTCCAATACAAGTTTGTTCATTTACTTTAGAATTGTTTTCGTTAGTAATATGTACAAATGCGTTCACAAATGCGTTCACGTATATAGATTTTTCAGTTTTGATTTTATATGATTATTGTATATTATTTAAAGCATAATAATGGTTTTAGTGTTTACTTATACATTTCTTAAATCAAAATATGATTATGTACAAATTTCGCCAAACAATACGCTGGTTAGTTAAAAGTTTATATATTTACTTTTAGTGTTTCAGAAATAAAGTGTTTATGTTTTCATGCAGTTTATATATATAGATTAAATTATATATATTGAACAATTTTATATGTTTATGATATACTTACAACTTTTGTGCTTCTTTTGATATGAACCTTATATATTTTATGTTTTATAATTATCCGTCATGTTGTTTTCTCGTCTATGGTAAGTATCTTCCCTTTTGTCCCTAGTTTTATATTTTTAATTTTGTCCCGCCCTTCCCCGAATCTCGAGTCGCCTTCCCCGAGCCCTTTTACTTTGTGGGCCTGTGGGCGTGAGGGATGTTGCACGTATTCATTATTCCTCATGTACAGACTCAATCAAACCGAGTCTGCAATTGTCTTGTAATTTTGTTGTGAATAATGCTCCCGAAGGATCACTTTGTTTCCAGATTTCTATTTAACAATCAGTTATTTGTTTTCTTTGATTTTCTTGTCGGTTACTATTATTTCCTTTTAAGTATCAGTTATGTGATTGTCCTGTCCGTGCTTTGTCTTATGCCCTGCCCTAACCATTTCATAACGGGGGCGGGGGTCCTCCTTGTTCGGGGGTTCTTGTTACTGGATCGTGTGGAGGTGCGTTCATTGACGCCGCCCTTCCTTATTGATCTTGTTTTTCATATTTTTATTTAATTATATTGTTTCCTTCGGGCGTTTTTGCGTTCTTTTGATTTTCTTTTTTGTATATGTTTTGTGTTTTGTTTATTGTAAGAAGTGTAATAGGAATCGGTATATAATGCGTTCGTCAACAAATTTTAACATACTGTAGAGATCATACATTTATGTTATGCGTTACAATCAGAGCAGTAAAAAGCTAGGTCATTGGATAGACATTTTGACATTTTTTTGCGACGCGACATGTTGTTATTCTAATGATCTCCTGGAACTACTGAGAAAATGGAAGGTATTGACTTTATTAACATCTTAAAACAATTTTTTATTACATGTATTTTAATTTTTAACGCTAAATTCGCTTACTGAGAAAGCTGCCACATCTATAGTTCAAACTTAAATTCACCATATGTATGTTTCCTTGCAACTTTAATAAAATCTATATGGTATAGTATTCTTCGTTTTTCGACATTTGATGCAGAGTTTACAAAACTATATATTATAAGACAATACTTGTACAATCTTAGTTTTTATTTGAACGTGGCTGCATCTGGCCGATTTTTTTTTTGCTTTTTAATATTCAATATATACATGTATTTGTCCGTGGTCACATGTTCTAAGCCTCTTGATTCCATTACTTGAACGGATCCATCTCTTGACCAAAGTTATACATTTTATATTTTATGCATGACAGTTGTTCAATTTGAAGACAATAGCAGTGGCTTTGCGTATTCTTTGAAAGTTTACTAATGTAGATTTCTTAATTAATCAGATCAATAAGCATACCCTTTATTTCAAGGAAATGTCAACGTAAGTTTTCTGTATTTTTCTTTTGTTTTGTTGTTCTCACAGCAGGTGATATACTCATTACAAATATTTCTCAAGAAGTATAATATATAATGTGCTCCTCTTAGTTCACGGTGCTGTAACATTTAGGTATTCTTTTACTATATGACACAAGGAAACAACAATATATTCAATCAAAATTAGTTTCAATGGGCCAGATGTAGACCCTGTGTCGGCCATTTTAAAAACACAATGTCACCATTTTAATCGCGGTAAATGGTGTTACACTATAGTTTTTCATGTTTCAGTTAAAATTTCTACATTGTATACTGCTCAATTGTAAATATCAAAACTAGTTTTACTTTGTGACTCAAAATTTATTTTTTCAACAAAAAAGAACGTTTAGAAAATGATGACTGTTTCCAACATACGCAAACATTTTATGGACTATTGTAGCTTTTTGCAGAATTTGTAAAATGATGTTCCGTTTTACGTAAAAACCTAGAGATTTAAAAAAAATTGCACAAAATCTATGTTGTTTAGGTGTATGAATAAATTATATCAATTCTGACAAATTTTAACACTGGTCACATGGAAATATGCCATTACCATGAACTAAGTGATGACACGGAATTAGTGATATTGAGTAAATAATATTTATGAATATTTTTCAGGAAATAAAGGCGTAAACTTTAATTAAGGTTTAAACATTTATATTCTATGGACATTTCATGTTTATTATTCACTAGTTTAATGTTGATTATGATTGTTTTGAGTAACTGTGTAGAGCTTATTAATACATTATTTTTAAATCTTAGATTCTTTTATGTAGTTATGTACAATATAAGTAGATAATGATTGTACTTTCATTTACATTGGCCTTTTAACTCCGTGAGATATAAGTTGTTTAGAAATATGTTTAGTTTTTAGTAGTATTTTGATTCTTTTTATTACTTTCTAGAATATATTTCAATTGCTATTGTTTATTGTAGAATGTTAAGTTTTTCTAATAAACTTTTTCATGAATCATTATCTTTTTGTTAACAAAAGCATTTTTAAGTTAATTCTGTTTGGCTGTAATTTGCAGACCCATCAGATAAGTTGTTACATACAGTGCCACCTGTGTGTTGATGTTAGCTCATTTTGGGATTCAAAAGTTTTTTAACCAGGTATCTCAGGGAGTATTGATTATGTTGATAACTTTGAAGAAGTAACATTTCTAAAAGCTCTCTAAAGTGAATCAATTAATTATAATTATTAAGTAAACCATAAAGAACATCTAATTCCCTGAAACATATTTGATACATTTGTAAGTAATTTTGGTAATTTCATTTTACAGATTAATACTTTTTCTTTGTTCTAAGTGGTAGCAATCTTGAATTTTTAAATTTTTATTCTTGTAACAGAGCTTGATGCTCGTACTATTTAATTTCTATAAGTTTAATAGCTCATAATCATTAGGGTTATTTTTCAAACCTATAGTTAATTATTACAATTTTGATACTTCTTTTCAACTCGTTAACATTCAACATTATTTATAATATAAGAACAGTTTATATTGAAGTACATAATGTAAACTTGTTTACCTTTAAGTAACTTTAAGGATATATTATGATCAAATTTGATATGTGAATAAAACTGATATTTACTTTAAAATCTATTTTTAAATGTGAAATAAACATCTTTTGACTACGTGCATACAGAGAAAATGTTACATTTTCAACTCTTCACAATACATTTAAACATAGTGTCATTAAAAAAACCTGTCAGTTTTTATAAAAAATGAATGAATTAAATTAACAATAGATAGGGATGCAGCTTACCAAACATAGTTTACACATTCACTTATTCACATTAGACATATTTAGGAAGAATTTACTAGCTTTTAATATATTTCTCTACAATAAATGTGTTTTACCAAAATACGAGCATAGTATATATTCAAGTTAAGTATAATTAAAAGTTAGTTTAATAAAGCCGTGGTTATTTTCATTTCATTTCATTTGAGTTGTGTTTTCTTTGAATTCAAAGGGCGGTGTCATCATGACGCTTAATTTTTCTTCCATAATAAAAAAACCTAAAGATTAGCTACAACTCCTGAGTAATCTATTTAAGAACATTACATGAATAAGTAATTAGGCTTACCTTTTTTAGAAACACTTATATTTTAACACCACAACAATGATGTCAGAAGTGGGGTTGTTTTGTATATATTATGAACTCTGTAAAATAATAAATTGTCTACAACTAAAATCTATAATATTCTGAAAAACTTAATATGGCAGCTATATTAAATTCGGACAACCCAGATCCCAGGTTTAAATGAAATGTCTTATATCAACCAACAAATATGGCAAGTTTCATGCTTTTCTCAAGAGGTTCATAATGCGCCCAATCTTATGCACGGTTTTGTTGGACACCCAGGAAAGTAACTTCAAATACACACAAACAGTTCAGATAATTCATGTGTAGAGATAAATAGCAACCAAACGTGTTGATTTATTTTTTTATTTTTTTATTCACAAATATTATATATAATTATACATATATACAATGACATAATATAACAAATTCAATTTGAGATATTCATATGTATTAGAGTAACAACGTACATAAACACACAAAGTGAAAAAAACTTGAATCTATCTAGAGGTTAGTATATATCTTTTAAAAGTTGGAGTATTTTGTCAAAAAAATTAACTTTTGTCTTCTTGTATTTATATTATTGATACGTTATTTTGAATTCTGTTTTAAACAGTTTGGATATGTTAAATTCATTTGACCAATTATTACTACAAAAGTAAGCTTTATAAATACTAAAACCTACAATGGTGAGTATAACATTTATGTAAAAGTATTCTTCTTGAGATATTTTATAACCGAAAATAAGGATGTCTAGTTTACGTATATTTCTTTGAATTCCGCACTCTTGAAAAATATATATAATTTTCTCCCAAAATAATTAAGTGCCATACAATCGATAAAAAGATGTTGATAATCTTCTATTTTATTGCAATTATTACAGAGTGGAGACGAGACCATTTTCCATTTATAGCGCGTTTCTTTGCTTGTAAAGATCATGTTAATTACTCTAAATTTGAATTGTTTATACTGATTATCAGGAATTCTTGTAATGAATTTATATATATCAATCCAGTTCAGTTTTCTCTCATATTTATTTGACCAATACGAATGTGTAGCGGGTTTAATGAATATTTTGTTTACTAATATTTGATATATTGTTTTTGAATCCATCAATTCAAAAGGTCTGTTATTTATCTTAAGACGTTTTTCTGTTTTTATTTTTGTTTGCGAAGAGTGAAACGTTTTCATAGTTTGTTTCCAGGCTAGGGGTATAGCCTTAAAGAGCAAGTTTAATTCAACGACGCAGTTGCGTTTATCTACTAGCTTATTTAAGATAACTTTTTTATCTATTTCACATTGATCATTAAGTAAATCATTTAAAAAATATGTATTCGATTTAATACATGTTTTAAAAAACAAACATTGGTTTTTAATTTTAATGAATCTATTGCCCCAGATTATTTGTTTACGTGTTGATTTATAAAGTGCGCAGTCATAACCAACTAATGCGACTGAATTTTCAGCGTTCGACGGTTCAAACTTTCTAAACACACATTTTCGGCAATATAGTGTGTATAACCAGAACTATTGACCTGTATCTATAATACTAATTCTAAACATTTTATTTTAAATGGCACGACAATTGCCAAGCAAATCTTTCTTCAAATTTCGTCTGTATATTGGCTTCAAATCGTGAAGAATGTAGAACATATTTTGAATATTGTCAAACCTAAAATAATCTTAGTACTATAGTCAGCTGCTAAATGAAACTGCTTTCCAGAACCCTTCAAACAAATGCTGGCACCAACACACACCTTCTGAAAGGATTCCCAGATCAGCAAATGGCGTATGAATATCAATAAAAACCTCAAGAAGCATTTCAGAAGCAATATATATCATTTTTCATCATCAAGTAAGTAAAGACAGTTTTAGAAGAATAAATCATGCTTTATCCTCAACATATGATAACCAACAATTTTCAATAAGAAAACAGCGCAAAAGATTTGTAACAGAAGACTGGTTTTCCAAATTTGCAAGCGAACTTAATCTCTGCAGAAAAAAGATCCACTTAATATGACCATACTAACAGGAAGTAAAAAGATGTAAAAAGGGGTATCAGCCTAAAATAATTTAAACATTAATTTGTCACTACTGTCATGAAGAGTCGATGCTCCAAAATGCCCAAAAAAGAATAATATCCGAAAAAAACAAAGCAAGAGAAAGTCATGGAAGAAAATTTTCAAACGCGAATAGACTGTGTCTGCTGGCCAAGAATTAGTCCAAACACTTACCAAAAAAAAACTTGAATAAAATGGCCAACAATGAACCGGGAGACAATCAATGACATCGGACACAATGAAAGAAAATACGTTCTGTTCAAAAACAAATACTAATCATGAATCTGGAAGAAAAGACAAAGTTTTAAATTTCAATATTCACTTCACTACAACGAAAAATTAAGAACCAATGCTAATGAAAGCCAAACGACCACATTAATAACACATTACGACATAACCGATGAAAACAGCAGACTAAAAGATGTCATTTTTGATTGGACAGTCTGCATGATTATTATCTACGACAACACATCTGTAGTTATTCAATACCATACAATAACATATCAATAGACGATGACAAAGATGCCAATACTAACACCAGACCACTAAAAGATGATGAAGCACTAACCAGAGAAAAACATAAACACAGGTGATGCCAAAATACCAATCATATGATCAATAACAACGACAAGATGCTTGCGTGTATGCGAGAATTAGAATTAACAGATAGGACATGTCCTATCCTGTAAATCTGGTATTAAGGTGTACGAATGCAAGAAAAACATATAATAGCCTTCACACATTAAGATTTACTTGTACATCTTAGTTTTAATTGGTGTTGTACTTCAAAATCCTACCGTCTGTAGAGGTCTTAAACAATCAGAAATATCATCCAGGGAATTATTATAATTACAAAATCTAGAAAATCGTTTTCCTAAAATGTCTGAGCAGGTTTTTTTCAGTTTCCAATATTGTCCTTCGAAGTATAACGGAAAAGTTACATTACTGTACAGCTGGATATTAACATAGAGTGAATTGGAATGAACATCAATACATTTTACATACTTCACTATAATTCTTATAAAAAAACTAATTCAATTATACTGTAATCACTAGACATCTTTTATTTTCTACAGCCTTTTTAACATTTGTACAATGATATCCGAACCCGGCTAAATGTAAGTGGTTGTGTTGGGGCTACTGTGAACGTCGCCTTGCCTTGTAGATCTTTGTTCTTATTTTTCAATATACTAGTAAGCAACGTTTATTCAACTGAGTATTGATGTACAAATGATTATAGGATTCTCGCTAATACTGATTGTGATGTCGAAATTGTTGTACATTTAACATTATCTACAGGAAACATAGCACTATACTTAAAACAATATCAATATGAACAATTATATTAAATGCCCATTAAGCCTCATAATGCAAACATTTTTATCTTTCAAAAGCTTTTTTCATTTTGATGTCCGGTTCGACTCCAAAAATGTTATTATACTTCGTTATATAGCTGAATCAATTTTGTTTCTTTTGCGTTTTGGCAAAAGGTACACTTATAGTGATTTAGCATTTTTGTATCGTATTAAAAAACCAATCTTTTTATATTTTGCTACCCTTTCCACTTATAATGTCAAACTCAGTGCTATCGTTATTAGACGAGAAGTACATAACATGTGTTAAATTATTTGTTGAAATATTATTTAGCATATGTTTGCTATTTCTATATATATGTATGGTTTAATGTGACTTTAAGAGTAACAAAATATTCATATAAAAATAAACTATCATATGCATTTCATCGTGTTCCTTCTCCTCTTGTAGTGAACATTCCACCTTACTTTGTCAACATATAACACGCCTAAATGCTTCGACGTTGATTACGTATATGAATGGGTTGAACAGAGAATTCAGAAAAGGGCCCATTAAAATCATGTCCGACGCAAATTGTGTTGTTATTCCAAGAGAAATGTTGACAACGATAAGCGCAATCGATGTCCAAATACAAATATTTGAACAAAGGAGTATATACATGTATGTTTTAACCGCCTTTCGAATCATTTTATCTCGTTTTGTGTCCGTGGTTTTCATTTCTTGTTTGTTGTTTCTTGTAGATGTCTTTACCGTGGTAGAGATATCAAAAGATGTCATGTTTTTCTCAGGGAACTGTTTCTTGCCAAGTTCCTCCGTCACAGACGTGATACTGCTTTGTTGCATTTGATCAGATTTATTTATACGATTAGTATTTTGCTGCTCAGATTTGGTTTTTAAAGCAGGATTTGATGTGCATTTTGGACGAGGCAGTCGAGTTTGCATCAGTATCCTTATACAAAGGCCACACAAAAGATTTGCAAGGAGAAGCATGATGACAAATATTGAACTTCCAATAATTCCAATTTTGTTTCTGTTGTCTCCAAATGCAAAAACAGAGGTACATCTGCCTGTTAAGGTTCTTTCTCCCTCTGGTATGAAGTGAATCGCCATTCCAATATATGCAATGATAATTAAAATAGTTGTCAACCGTATACCGTTTAAATATCGCTGTTTCCAAGAAATTGTCATTGAATTTATATTTCGTAAGGTTACATACCTTTGCAAAGCCAAACCAATCATATTAGACTGTGATACAATCTGAACGATTGGTAGAAGTATGACGTAAGCAATGCATACATCTTTTCTGACTTTGAATGATTCAAAAAATGGGAATCTGTATAAGAGCAAGGCAAGTCCTGCAATGACGTCACACAAGCAAAGCGTTGATAATTGAAATGCAAGCTTTTTCAGTTTTTCATCTTTGCGGTGAATGATCAACAAAGAAAGTACTGCTCCATTTAAAATGATTATAAGCGTAGAAACAACGAACATCAAATAATAGGATTCTTTTGTTTCCGAATCTTCGTCATTTGAATTGTCTATTGAGTAATTACCATTGTAACTTTCGTTATCCATTTTTTTCTATCTAAAGTCACAATCAAAATCAATGTGTGTAATATTTATCCATATGCACATCTTAGCGAAATTTTTAAAAATTTGCGATTTAATTTTTGAAACGCAAGTCATATGTTTTCAATATACAATGCTTGTACTATTTTTTGTAAGACGTCTAGATCTAGAACTGACGAAAACAACACATGCACACATCTCATTTATACAAAAGTTTGTTATTATCATAGATATAACAAATCTAATTTTTATTTGATCAGCTTCATTTTCGACTAATTTTGTTAGCTGAACACACATGTGAATAAAAAATTAGATTTATCTTAGATTAATTGTCTTAATTTGACGTTCCTTATTGTATGTTAATGTCAGTACACGTTGTTTATAAACTCAGATCGCGCCCAGTTTTAAGCCAATAACTATTATTTTTCTAATTATCACAGCTACTGATATAAGAAAAAAGGCGAAACACAGTTGAATTCCACAAAATTTGAAATCTTGTTATCCCCTTTGTTGTGAAATTTTCATATTGATACGAACAAATCCTGCAGAAACATGGTTTTTATTTCTTCAACGAAATAAATAGTAAAACTTCATAATTAAGTGTGTCCCTAATTAAGATTTCCTTTAAAACAATAGCAGATGTTGTATGAAAATACATTCTTAAAACAAATATCTGATGATAAAAAATCGGTGTTCTCATTGCAAACCTTCTATCCAAATTTATGAGGTGAGTAAATAAAATTGTGATTTTTGTGATGAATACTCTTGGTAATGGTGTTATAACTCATAAAAACGTCTTTGTTCATCCCTCAAATAAGTAAAATCTCCTGTAATATCATTTTTTCCCATTCTATTCCTATTTAATGATCTTCAAGAAGTCATCATCTGTAAAGGTTCTGCTGATAATGACAGTTTTTTGTGTGTGTGTTTTTTTTTTACATTTTTTGACGTTCTTTCTTATTATTTCATATAACACCTTGTTAATTATTGTTTGTCATTTTTTGGTCATTTTCTTAGAAAAGTAAGACCATTCTTGAATATTATTTATAAGATTAAATAACAGTATAAACAGGTGATTTTAGTATCAAATTTTTCTTTCTAATTATTTTAAATATATAACACGGACGTCGGAAACATAATTATACGTTTTAGTATTCATATTGCGTCGATTTGCCAAACAGGACTCTTACTTTCACGATATAGACATATAACGATCTGGTAAAAACAAATACTCGTATGAGTGTGAGTATACGTTTCACGCGAGTCCACGTGTATGTATGTCGGTCTGTGTGCGCGCGCGTGCGTGCGCATGTGCGTGCGTTTGTAAAATGCTTACTATGCATTTATTAAAAACCTCTTTATGTAATGGTCATCTTGCGTATGGTCACGTAATCAAAAGGTAAAGTCGATAAAAATGTGATTATGGTAAAAACTTAAATGTAGGAACTTAAAATGATTTATATTTAAAATAATATAATCGTACAGAATTATTAAAATCATTGCTTTCACGAGAATAAAGTTGAAAATGGGTCATTGTACCTATCAATATCGACGAAACACAAAGTCTTCTCCAAACGGTAGTCAGATTGTCATTCTCACAAATGATGTTAAAAAGTAAACACATTCCTTGAAAAATTTGTAATGCTGATTAAAGTATAACGCCATAGCAGCAGTATGCGTTAATTCATTTCTTTTAAATTGATTAACTAATAAAACATAAAACATATTGATACCTACGGTTATGTATAATCCAGAAAGTACTTAAATAACGATAAGTTTGCTGTGTATGGAGCGAGTGGTAAAACAAAATATTTAATTAATTAATACAAATATGGTGCTTTCAAGACTTTTTTCTAACTGCTCAGCCGTGATAAAACATAAAATAATATGCAGAACAGATGGAAATTTGGAATCTCAAACCTATAAAATGTTTTCTTTTTAACATCATTTATCAGTATGTACTTCAGGGAGACCACTCATGCCAGTTTTAAGTAAAATAATGAATGAAGTTATCTTCCGTATTTTTCAGAAATCGTCATAATTTGGTGAAAGTCAGTATACGGACCAAAATTTATCTATACAACAAATTACATTACAGATATTATTACGACAGAACACATTTGGTAGTCGAGTTCTCGGCAAGGCACATGTGTTTGTAATATGTATTGGTTCAATGCAACATGTTCACGTTATTTTTCTCCACCACTTACTTAATGCATAGCCATCATATCCATCTGATTATTACCTTTTTCACCTCGTCTCAATACTATCTTAATGATTCTATAACTGGCAATGGTGATAAATTAAGAGCGCTCAAGACGGTGCTGGGGAAGGGTACGCACTGGAGATGTTGCATATTTCGCTGTTTCTATATGAACTGACATTCCACAATTTTAAACCCAGAGTAGCAAGTTCAGCTTCCCATATATGTAACATTGATTAACGCATCTAAAACAATGTACATGTAAATATACATGTATGATTCTTGTCCAACATCACTCCAACAATATCATATGGTTCTTTGTTACTAATAATTACAGTAAGCTTCTAGATGATCCCGAGCGGAATTCAAATACTGACAGAGACTGGAGAGCCTATAATTATAGAGTTAGCTTGTGGCAGGTGAATTGGAACACCGTTTTCATTTCACTCTTTTCTTATATCTTATTTCCTGTCTCGGCTACATTGCATATCCTCTGACAACTTGTTTCCGTTTAGGGGCGTGGAAAGCCAAGGCTGAACATACAAAGGTAACGCCTACAGCTGCACACGTCATGTAGAAACACCAAGATAATGAACAGTCACCTGAAATTAAGCACACACGCAATCAAATGAACGATAGACAAGTCAAATATGGTTTGACTATCTAGATGCAAACTATATGAATTTGAAATATCCCTAATCGATTTATATAAAATTTTGATATGATTTTGTAATAGGAACGAGTGTGCTCTGGAGAACAAGCAAGAACAACATGACATCTTAGAAGTTGACTGGGTAGGTCTTTATAGTTACAATCAATAAAAAACAATCAATATTTTAATCGGTTCAGGCTGTAACCATTTCACTGTAATACATGTATCTTATTGAAGCTCATTACCAGTTTGCTCATTTCAAAAACGTAAAAATCGAAGTGAAATTATATCTATTTTTACACGTCATTTTGTTTTTAAAACGACATTTTAATTTCAAAGTTTAACAAAAAGAGGATTATATAAATACAAGTTATACAAATGATCATTTGGCATGAATAACAATTTCGGTAAATTAAAAAGTATTGTCCGTGTATTACCTAAATGGTAAGAATTGGACGTATTTCCACAAGCTTGCTGTACCTCCGGACTTCCGAAACCATTTGGATAGATACCCACTCCCGCTGTGAGTAATAAACCTAAGTAAACAGCACAGAAAAGAAATGTATAAAAACGTGATTGCGTTTTATGTTATTGTGCGTTGCTGTACTTTTAATTTATTGAGACGTTGTTGTACTTGAGTTTATCTTTTTAACTTAAATGCCTTTACGGACAATTCATTCTTTCAACTTGAAATGTCAAATCGTAAAATTGCTCATGATATACCTACCTACATTTATGATATATATTCTTATTTGTAATAATTTCGTTACGCTCTTTATGACAAATTGTATCATCATTTTATAATGTATCTATTATCAACAATCCTAACAACAGTTGCTGACAATTTCATTGTTATTTACGCAAGCTTTTTGTCGAGCTTTTCGCTGCCGTTATTGTTGAAATTCCTGTAATTACTATTTTGCTATAACATCACTTTTACTCTTTCACAAGTATCTTTTAGCAATGTACTATCATCGCATATATACTGGTAAAGATCAATTTTTATCACATAATGTTTTAGATTATATAAAATGACAAGAGGTTTCTTCTGTATGATAATTAGTTACTCTTGTTTTTGATAATTCTTATTATATAATGGAATAACAGTGTAAGTGTTTTTATTGCTTTGTTTGCATGTATTATGTGTGAACATCGGTGGGACATAAAGAATCATTAATTCAATGATTTATACAATGATATTGCTTTAATACAAAAGTAAACAATTATTCCCAGTTATTCGTGTTTTTTCTTTCTTTTAACGATGCAGATAATTTGATACCAAATATAGAATGAATAGAAAATTATTCTCAAATATGTAACCCAATCATGTCTTTGTTTTCTGCTTCTTTGTCATATTTGTTTCCATGGTAATATTTTAATTAGTATTCATAGATCATTGAAAACGACAACAGACGGGTGGTTATTAGAATAACAATATAACAGAAGTCGGAAGAAATAAAAATGAAAATTCAAGAAATCCGAATAATAAAAAGCAAAAAAGGGTATAACAATATCCAACTCATGCTAACGTCTTTATCCGAAAAATATTCTGGGAAAAAAATATAAAAGAAATTTGATAACGAGAAATTGTGGTGGCAATCCATAATGTGAATGGAAACGTTAATAATTTTTGCATATAAAGACAAGCGTTGTTAAAACATGATTCTAGCAATTTTTAACATTGCCTTATGGATGTTTATTCATCAAGGAGGTGTAGAAATCGCATTTCATGCACGCTTTAAACTATTTTTAGCAAGTCATTTCCAGATCTTAGAACGCCGCGTTAGGCTACAGAAAATATTACTTTTTTGGGTCATTCAATTTGAATATTTTTCGGTTAGTACAGAATCGCGTACTTGGTTTTAGTATAAAATCTCAAATGACTCTTTGTAAAAAATAATCTCTGTAGACACAATATACGCTTTTCTAAACTGCAAAGAGGTCCTCTTAATTTAATGAAATCTTAGCATGTCTATTAAACATAATTATAAAAAGATATCAGTCCGCAAAAAAATATCAGTATATAATGCCTAAGTTCTATATAATAGGAACGGAATCTGTTTGATATTAGAGTATGCAAAACAGTTATATTCGATTTTTTATTAAATATTATTTATCTAAACTGCTATTGAATAAATATCTAAAACAAATTACATCTTGTATCTTATATCTCATACACAAGAATGTTATATTGGAATATAAATTAGATGTAAGCTAAGGTTTATATCATGATCAGTTATACGTAAAATCTAGAAATTTGTCAGTCTAAACTTCTCCGCCAGATGATTCTCATGTTTATTACATTACAAATTTTGATATTTACTGCAGTAAACTCCTATTCTTAATAAGATCCACGAGAGTTTAGTAAATTACAAACAATGTATATAAAAGATAACATAAAAATTGTGATAAATAACGATTTATGGCAGATAAACGAGATAAATTAGTCGCAGACGAAAAATAAAATCCTACTTAAGATAAAGTTTGTAGCGGTAGCATAACAACGGTTAGTGTAACCTGGTAGCTAAATGTCAGAGTGCGTGTAATCAAGCAGCAAATGTTGTTGACATTTTGACAGATGTCAGATAAAAAGTCATTTAGTATAGAAACATAAGTGGAAAGGTTAAGTAGATATACTTTAAAAATGAATGCTACACAATACATGTATGTTTTCCCTGTTGGTTGAAATTCATAAAAGATTTGTTACTAGTTAAAATCAAACATGAAATGAAAGCTTAGTTTAATGATTATTATATCTGGAAACTTAGCAGATGGGATTTATACCTGAACACAACTGAAGTATTCCAGCCGTCCGTGCTACCGTCGGGATGACAACATCCTTGACACAAACACCAAACATAGCAGTTAGTGAGACAAGAAGGCATAAACAACACGCTAGTCCAATTACAAGAGTGGCTATCTGCCACGACGTGCTTGGTATGTCCGTGAAAGTCTTGTATCGTCCACATTCATGAACTATTTCAAGTTGTCCATTGTCATTTATTGCCGGGTAGTTACACCGACGAAATATTCCAAAACTTACAGGAACCGTTCGTCCTGTTTTTCCATTTTGCTGAATAAACATTTGTCCAGTTATCCAGTATGGCATAAAATACCCGACACACAAAGTCACAGACGAAATGAAGGACGAAAATGCCCAAAACACTCCGATTCCAGAAAGCCCGGACATCTTTCATGAAATTACATTTATCATTTGTTGTTTATAAATCCATCTATCTTTGCATTCTAAAATCCTTTAGGGAATTTAAGGTCTAAAAATTCAAATTGTATGATGATAATTTATTCCTGTCATGTCTCCGTGGGATGTTTCCACTTCAAATTCACAATAAAGTCCATATTATCATATTATCCATATTAATATGTAAACATCTCAGTACATTATCTTTAAACCAACTATTTATCCGCTTATGGCAATTAGTTAGGGTTTTAAACTTTAATTTTATCAGTAAAATGTAGAAAACTAATTCGAAGTTTAAGCTTCAATCTTACTATAGCTTTACAAAGATAAATATTCCATCAGCATCAACAATCCTGAATATAAACGTGATCTTCACCGACTGAAATTCAGAACGAAAATATAAACATGCCCTGATTTCATCTTTATTACACTCGTTATTTCGATACGATTTAATTAAACTCAAGTGTTTCCGCCCTCTCCGTATAAAATACTAATATTTCCTGCAATCAGAGATATCTCATTTCAGCTTCTGGTGAGTTCTCTATTTCTCCAATATTGCATCTCATTTAAACCAACTCGCCCTTTATTAGAAGTACCGCGATTAACATAATACTGTCCGCCTTTACAAGAAACAAAAATCTGTTAAATCTTCCTAATAATGCATTGTTTTACTTGTTTTTAATCCTTTTTTTGCTAAAGTAAAGAAAAACATAATCCATGAAGAACGCAAAAGAACTGTTGAAAATGTTGCAGGCTCAGTTTGATTGAGCCTGTTCACAGAAGGAAGTGTAAAATGCAAGCTGCCGACCACGCCCTCTAGCTTAAGCAAAATTCAACATTTGAACATTAGGTTATAGTAAGTACTGTTGTCTATATAAATATATCAATTAATTAAGCCTTGATCAAACAAAATTATATCACTATTGAAAATGTTTCTTCTGACCTTTTCAGAGAGAAGTAAGTTCAACTGCCATTTTAATCAATGCAAAGCAAAAATAAGTCCAAGTGAAGGATATATAGAATGTTAACACAAAGTATCTTAATTTAATGTGGGTCTTTTTAATATCTATCAACATTATACTTGAAACAAACGATCATATTTTGATGCACTTAACGTCTCCTTTGTAGCATATCAGTAACAATAACGTTTGGTTACTACTTTGAAATGTAATACATATGTCATTTACCTGATTCATTTATTTTTTCATAAAAAAGTTCATGTTCCATCATTATATCAAAGGATATCAAATGAATAGCTTTGAATTACAGCTACAATATGAAAGTGTTTTGTACTAGAAATTGCAGTACATACTTTTTTGTTTTACATTGCAAGTATTTTACAACAAAAATGTACTTATTCTATCAACAAACATTATATTTGTATTTATATTGAGGATGAAGCACATGCATTTTTTTTCGAAAAAAAAATAATATATGTAATTACTGGTAAAACGGTAGCCTGAATGTATATTTACTAAGATACACTATTTATTCGGTTTTGATCATTTCCAATATCAATAATTCTTGGCGTTTAAATAAATGGTAATTAATTTTGTTTCAATTAAACGCATATGATTAATTCATGTCGAATATTAAAACTTCGTAATTCAACTTTTACAATAAAATCATATTATAGCATATTATATTTTATTATGCTTAGCATTGTGGTTTTCTTAATAAGTTGTCACATACTGTTATAAATGCGGTGTAAAACTATGAAATTCGGTCAAGATGGTATATATAGTAATAAATGAACGCTAGAATAGGGTCAATATTTATTTATAAAGTGCATACCTTATAGGTAGTAATATATTCACATTAATTTGATGAATTTATAATGTACATGTAGTTTGTTTGCAAATGGTTTTTGTATGTTTTAAGTCATTCATTTTACAGCCGTAATAAAACATAAAATAATATGCACAACAGATGTAAATATGGAATCTCATCTTCTTATAAAATGTTTTCTTTATATACACATTGATAATATCATTTGATTATCAGTATGCTACTTCAGGGAGACCACTCATACCAGTTTAAAGTAAAATAATGAATGCAGTTATGTCCCGTGATATCAGAAAGTCGTCATACGTACCATTGAAAGTCAAAATACAGGCCAAAATTTATCTATACAACAAATAATATTACAAATAGTATAACAATTGTTTGAACACATTTGGTAGTAAAGTTTTCGGTAAGGCACACGTGTTTGTAAGATCACTTTGTTCAATCAACATGTTCATGTCATTGTTCGCCATCACGTACGTTATGCATAGCCATCTGATTATTACCCTTTTCACCTCGTCTCTATAATATCATAATGATTCTATAACTGACAATGTTGATAAATTAAGAGCGCTCAAGACGGTGCCGGGGAGGGTACGCATCCAACGTGCATGTATATGTATGATTCTTGTCAAAAATCACTTCAACAATATCAATTGGTTCTATGTGTTACTGTATAATTACAGTAAGCTTCTAGATGATCTCGACCTGAATTCAAACCCCTTGTCTTCCTTACTGACAGAGACTGGAGAGCCTATAAATATAGAGTTAGCTTGTGGCAGTTGAATTGTAACACCATTTTCACTCTTTCACTCTTTTACATCTTATTTCTTGTCTCGGCTACATTGCATACCCTCCGACGACTTGTTTCCGTTTAGGGGCGTGGAAAGCCAAGGCAGAACATACAAAGGTAACGCCTACAGCTGCACACGTCATGTAGAAACACCAAGATAATGAACAATCACCTGAAATTAAGCACACACGCAATAAAATGAACGGTAGACAAGTCAAATATGGTTTGACTATCTGGATGCAAATAATGTGAACTTGAAATACCCCTAATCGATTTATATAAGATTTTGATATGATTTTGTAAAAGGCACGAGTGTGCCAAGATTAACCTGACATTTTAGAAGTTGCCTGTGCATTTTCATAATATGAAAAGGAAAACAATGAATGTTACAAACAATATTCATACCAAGATCATTACTAAATTGCTACAATACACGTAATCTGATTGAAGCGTAATAATAAGAATGCTTATTTGAAAAGAAGTGTAGTTATATTTATTTGTAAACGTTATTCTGTTTTTAAGACAACTTTTTAATTTCAAACAAAAATGATTATAGAAAAAAAAGTCATACATTTTTTTTCTTTTGGCATGAATAACAATTTCGTTCAATTAAACTGTAGTGTCCGTGTATTACCTAAATGGTAAGAACTGGAAGTATTTCCGCAAGCTTGCTGTATCTCCGGACTTCCGAAACCATTTGGATAGATACCCACTCCAGCGGTAAGTAATAAACCTGAAGTAAATAACACACAGAAAAGAAATGTTAAAAAAATGTGTTACTTTGCGTTATTTTTTTTTTTAATTTATTGAGACGTTGTTTATCTTCTTAATTTAAATGCCGTTACGGACAATTCATTCTTTTAACTTGAAATGTCAAATCGTAAAATTGCTCATGATATACCTACCTACATTTATGATAAATATTCTTATTTGTAATAATTTCGTTACGTTCTTTATGACAAATTGTAACATCATTTTATAATGTATCTATTATCAACAATCCAGCCACAGTGGTTGACAATTCCATTGTTATTTACGCAAGCCTTTCGCTGCCGTTATTGTTGAAATGCCTGTAATTACTTTTTTCTATTATATCACTGTTACTCTTTCACAAGTATCTTTTAGCAATGTATAATCACCGCGTATAATGGTAAAAATCCGTTTTTATTACATAATGTTCTAGATTATATAAAATGACAAGAGGTTTCTTCCTTATGATTAATAGTTACTCTTGTCTTTGATAATTCTAATAATATCATGGAATAACAGTGTAACTGTTTTTATTGCTTTGTGTGCTTTTTAGCCAGTCATTCATTTCCAGACATTATCTTAGAACGTCGCGTCAGGCTACAAAATAGAGGATATTGAATGAGTGTAGGTTTAATACTAAATTTATTGAACGAGTTGAATAAAATCATATTATGCGAGCATCTGGCGAGCATAATTTTGTTTTATTCAACGAGTTCAATAAATTTAGTATTGAATCTACACGAATATAATATTCTATTTATCACATATATAAAATGAGAACGGTAAACAAGAGTCATTTTTCTTTGACGCGCCTATAGTGTAACGCTAACATTAGCGCGCTTTAACGCTATGTTTATAGTGCAAATAACGTGACGTCAAAGTGTTATTACACTAGTGTAATATCGTCTAGTGTAATATCGTTTTTATTAAATGGCTTTATTACACTCCTGCGCCGCGGTTTATGTGATAAACAGATTTATTTCTTGGGACATTCAATTTGAATATTTTCAGTTGATACAGAATTACGTGTGTGTTTTTTAGCATAAAATCTCAAATGACTCTTTGTCAATAATAATCTCTGTAGACACAATATACTGCAAAGAGGACCTCTTATTTTAATGAAATCCTACCTTGTCTATTAAACATATAAAAAAATATCAGTCCGTAAAAAGATAGCAGTATATAATGCCTAATATAGGAACGGAATTCTGTTTGATATTAAAGTCAACCGTTTGCATGCAAAACAGCTATTTTCATTTATTTATAAATCAATGATCTATGATTTATTATTATTTAAACTACTATTAACTAAATGAATCAATATCTGAAACAAATTTCATCTTGTATCTCATACACAAGAAAGTTATATTGGAACATGAATGAGATGTACGCAGATGTTTATATCATAATAAGTTGTACATAAAATCAACAAAATATTCTCATGTTTATCAAATTACAAATTTCGATATTTACTGCAGTAAACTCATGTTCTCAATAAGATCCACGAGAGTTTAGTAAATAACAAACAATGTATATAAATGATTACATTAAAATTGTGATAAATAACGATTTATGGCAGATAAACGAGATAAATTAGTCGCAGACGAGAAATAAAATCCTACTTAAGATAAAGTTTGTAGCGGTAGCATAACAACGGTTAGTGTAACCTGGTAGCTAAATGTCAGAGTGCGTGTAATCAAGCAGCAAATGTTGTTGACATTTTGACAGATGTCAGATAAAAAGTCATTTAGTATAGAAACATAAGTGGAAAGGTTAAGTAGATATACTTTAAAAATGAATGCTACACACTACATGTATGTTTCCATGTTGAAATTCCTACCAGATTTGTTACCAGTTAAAATCAAACATGAAATGAAAGTTCAGTTTAATAATTATTTTATCTGCAAAGTTAGCAGATGGAATTTATACCTGAACACAACTGTAGTATTCCCGCCGTTCGTGCTACCGTCGGGATGACGACACCCTTGACACAAACACCAAACATAGCAGTTAGTGAGACAAGAAGGCACAAACAACATGCTAGTCCAATTACAAGAGTGGCTATCTGCCACGACGTGCTTGGAATGTCCGTGAAAGTCTTGTATCGTCCACATTCATGAACTATTTCAATTTGTCCATCGTCATTTATTGCCGGGTAGTTACACCGACGAAATATTCCAAAACTTACGGGAACAGTTTGTCCTGATTTTCCGTTGTTCTGAATAAACATTTGTCCAGTTATCCAGTAAGGCATAAAATACCCGACACACAAAGCCACAGACGAAATAAAGGACGAAAATGCCCAAATCACTCCGATTCCAGAAAGCCCGGACATCTTTAATAAAAAAAATGAAATTTATCACTCGTGGTTTATTAATTCATTTATCTTTGCATTCTTAAATCCGTTAGGGAATTTAAGGTCTAAAAATTCAAATTGTATGATGATTATTTATTCCTGTCATGTCTCCGTGTGATGTTTCCACTTTAAATTCACAATAAAGTCCAAATTATCCATATTAATTTGTAAAACTCTCAGTACATTATCTTTAAACCAACTATTTATCCGCTTTGGGCAATTAGTTTGGGTATTAAACTTTAATTTATCAGTAAAATGTAGAAAACTAATACGAAGTTTAAGCTTCAGTGTTACGATAGCTTTTCAAAAATAAATATTCCATCAGCATCAACAATCCTGAATATAAACGTGATCTTCATCGACTGAAATTCAGAACGAAATAAAATAAGTATGCCCTGATTTCATCTTTATTACAGCCATTATTTCGATACGATTTAATTAAACTCAAGTGTTTCCGCCCTCTCTGTATAAAATACTAATATTTCCTGCAATCAGAGATATCTCATTTCAGCTTCTGGGGAGTTTTCTATTTCTCCAATATCGCATCTAATTTAAACCAATTCGCCCTTTATTAGAAATACGGCGATTCACATAATACTGTCCGCCTTTACAAGAAACAAAAATCTGTTAAATATTCCTAATTTTACTGCATTATTTACTCGCTTTTATCCGTATTTGCTAAAGTAAAGAAAAACATAATCAATGAAGAACGCAAAAGAACTGTTGAAAATGTTGCATGCTCATTTTGATTGAGCCTGTTCACAGACGGAAGTGTTAAATTCAAGCTGCCGACCACGCCCTCTAGCACCGGCTTAAGCAAAATTCAACATTTGAACATTTGGTTATAGTAAGTACTGCTATTTATATGAATATATCAATTAATTAGGCCATGGTCAAACAATAGTATTTTTCTACTAAAAATGTTTCTCCTGACCTTTTCAGAGAGAAGTAAGTTCAACTGCCGTTTTAAATCAAATAACTGCCATTTTAATCAATGCAAAGCAAAAATAAGTTCAAGTGAAGGATACATGGAATGTTAACACAAAGTATCTTTCTTTAATGTGGGTCTTTTTTATCTATCAACATTATACTTGAAACAAACGATCATATTTTGATGCATTTAACGTCTCCTTTGTAACATATCAGTAACAATAAAGGTTGGTCACTACTTTGAAATGTAATACATATGTCATTAACCTGATTTTTTTTCCGAAAAAATGTTTATTTCCCCTCTTTATATCAAAGGGTATATAAATAAATACCTTTGAATTATAGGTACATAGGAGTTTTGTACTAGAAATTACAGTACTTATTTGTTACATTGTAAGAATTCTACAATAAAAATGTACGAACAACAAACATCATATCTGTATTTATATCGAGAATGAAGCACATGCATTTTTTTTCGAAAAAATAAATGAATCCGCCGGAGTATATGTAATTACTGGTAAAACGGTAGCCTCATACATTTTTATAAATATATGTTTACTAAGATATGTTTACATGTTTACTAAGATTTTTTTACAAAGATTCACTATTTATTCAGTTTTGAACAAATCCAATTTCAATTATTCTTGACGATTTAATTAATAATTTGAAATGGTAATTAATTTTGTTTCAATTAAATGCATATGATTAATTCATGTCGAATATTAAAACTTCGTGGTTCAATTTTACTACTTTTATCTAGAGCGTATACAACAATTTGTTATATTTTAGCATATTATATTATATTATGCATAGCAATGTGGTTTTCTTAATAAGGTGTCACATACTGTTATAAATGTGGTATAAAACTATGAAATTCGGTCAAGGTTGTATATGAATTAATAAATGAACGCTAGAATAGGGTCAATATTCATTTAAATAGGGTTTACCTTATAGGTTGTAATATATTCACATTAATTTGATAAATTTATAATGAAATTTGTTTTCATTTTTTTTTTGATGTTTTAGTCATTATATATTTATAATAATTTGTTAATAAATCACATTAAGAAAAGAAAAATACTTTAAATCAAATAAGAGAAGTCACACCCGGTTATCACAGTTAGGAATACGCCATATCTAAAACCTAGAATTTCGTGTTCTAGGCGGTCAGGAGTTTATTCAAGATGACACAATTTAAGGTGATATGTTCCGTCTTTGAGATATATTTATATAAGTAGTTACAATTTATCTCTTTTCGCGTCACCTTCATGTAAACTAAATTAGACACTTATTCAATATTTAGCCATACCAAATGTTATGATGATTCACTTGAAGAATATTTGTTATCCCATTCTTTATAATATATGAGACTGCACTATGGTATTATCTTCATAACTCTTGATAATTTTGAAAAATTCTCCTCAGTGGATCACAAATATATCCATGTAAATGTTAATCGTTTTTTGGCCGTCTGTCTTGCACAAAATGTACTAGAAAGACACTGCCCAACATACAATAACATTATTGCACGCAAGATTATATATCACAAAAGAGTATAATATCAGATATCTCAAAAAAGTATTATCCTTGTCATATACTGCACCAATAGACTGACGGTGTTGGGTATTCAACAATTAGCATTCTTGTGGTTCTCGAAACATTGGCCGAAATTTAAACCCAGATCCTCTTAACTGACATGAACTGGGCCACCAACATAGAGTTTGCTATTGCATGTGGCTGGAGTTTGAGCGCCATTTTTATAAAATAATTTATAAAAAGTAGTTATCCATGTCTATGCTACATTGCATGTCCTCTCACGATTTGTTTCCGTTTCGGTGCGTGGTAAGCGAGAGCTGAACAAACAAAAGTAACGCCCACACCTGCACACGTGATGTATAAACACCAAGATAACGAACAGTTACCTGAAATAAAGACGGCACGTAATAAACATAAAACCAGGAAATCATAATAAATTATCGTTTGACAATTCAAATACAAAACAACATCAATTTGGAATAATGATAACATTTTAATAAATATCAGGTAAATAGCTGGTTGTTTTTGTGTTAAATATGAAGCTGTACTGATGAAGTAAAGTCTTGAGTACACTTTTGTACAAAATGTAAGGCACGAGATGGTTGTATGGTATAACCATTTTATCTTTCGGAAGCTGGTTGGTTGTCTTCCTTATACGAAAAAAGACACGCCCCTGATAGAACGCCTACCTACATTGCAACCATTTTGTTACGAATAACCGTGGAGACTTATAATTGTGATTTAATATCAGTATCATTATAATTTAATAGTTCGTATGTTATATCAGATTGCAGAAAAGTTACATGTATTTTAAATACAAATTCAATAATTTCATTACGACTTACAAATTACAAATAAAAAGAATACATCAAATACAATATACATAAAATATATTGTAAATATTTTACAAACTAAACCGTTGTTGTCTGTATAGGCCTATTACCTAAATGGTAAGATTTTGATTTATTCCCACAAGCTTGCTGTACCTCCAGACTTCCAAAACCATTTGGATAAATCGCAACCGCTGTTGTCAGTAATAAGCCTGAAGTAAATAGAAAACACAAATTTTAAATAATCATACATTCTGTTATAATATGTTTACTGTGTAAATAAATATTTATGTAGGGGCGTTCGTGGCCGAGTGGTTAATATCGTTGTTGACTTTAAACCTCTTGTGCAACATCGTGTGGGTTCGAATCCCCGACAGGGACTTTGGATTCTTTCTATCAAACTAGCTTACAGAACATCGATGGTTCTACTCAGGTGCCAGTTCGTGCCTGAAATTATGCATCTATTAATAAATTCATTTTATCATTAGCACAAAAAACAAAATAACAAAAACACAACTCTTTAAGTGGTTTATTACTAATATATATATGTTCATTATGTTTTTTTATCAGTATGGAATTTTTTATTCAGTTGCGATCAAGCTAGAACAGAAGCATGTTCAGGTCAAGCTTATTTTTCTTTAACACTCAAGATTGTAAATTGTCAATTTGACTGAAGCGGAAATTACAATCACACAAGAAACCCAATATTTATACTTGTATCTTTTATAATTCTTTGTCATGTTTGTTTCCATGGTAACGTTATAATTAGTATTCATACAGCACTGAAAACGACAGACATAGACCGTTGGTAATTATAATGCAAATGTAACAGAAGTTAGAGAGAACAATAATGAATACAATTCTACAAAGTGCAATCTACTTAGAGCTGGAGCCAGTTGTTTGTAAACAATAAAGTAACTTTGTATGTGTTTAGTTTAAAGCGTCAAATACAGGCTATCACTTTTATTCAAGAAAAAGAATTATATTTAAATACAAATTGAACTATTCCGCAATAAATATCAGAAAGTCAAATGAATATGTCCTAGAAGAATTGAAAACGTTATAATTAATGCGTTGATAGAACAAATAGTTTGTACGGATTATTTACAAACATACCGATTGTCCCCGAGTTATTTTAAGGATATAACTACGTGCACTAGCTGAAGAAGGCCGAAATTTACATTACATGACTTAAGTCTGAAATGATTCTTCGCCTAAGAAAATATACATATACGATATATCTCGTTTAAAATTATCTACAAAAGTTGTTTTGGCAAATATTTGAGCAGTGTCTTATCTTGTCGAAAAGATAACTTCCATTTTATCTGATTAAACTTAATATGTGATTCCTTATTGTAATCGTTCAACAATTTCTCTGGATGAAATCTCTTGTTCTTATCAAATTTAAGGTAGTTCATCTTCATCTCTTCGGCTTAAATTCTGTGGAAATTACACGGGGGTAAATAATCACCACTTTGTGCTTCTGAATTAAACCTTAAAGTGCATGACTGGTGACATGTCCGGGGTCCGGGGTCCGTGTCCGATAGCGAAAGCTTCTTAGCAGACAGATTGACCCGCAATAAGCCCAACTATTTCGGTAATAAGAAAAATAAAAAAGGTTTTACGTCACAAATTTTCCGAATTAATATCTTATAATTAAAAATTATAAATAGACAATTATCTTATATCATTTATTTGTTTTTCGACAATTTCTGCTACAGTTTACATTATAAAACTTTACATAAAGTTTTTGATATATATATAACGACATTTTGCAGATAACCATTTAAATATGTAGCATATTAGAATAATTTAGGAGATCAAGTTTGTAGCGACAGCATAACAACAATATGCGTAACCTGGTACCTCAACATCAGGTTCGTGTAGTCAAGCGGCAAAAGTTGTTAATATCTTGATAGATGTCAGTTAAAAAGTCATTTCAAATAGGAACATAATCGCAAAAGTTAACTTAAAATGAATGCTCATCAAAGCATGTTTAATTCTTTGCTGTAAATTGTATGCCTATTTATGCAAGATTTGTTAGCAGTTAAAGTAGTACATGATTGAATAAATAAATATTTATAACTGTCAATATAATATATACCTGAACATAACTGAAGTATTCCCGCCGTCCGTGCTACCGTCGGGATGACGACACCTTTGACACAAACACCAAACATAGCAGTTAGTGAGACAAGAAGGCACAAACAACACGCTAGTCCAATTATAAGAGTTGCTATCTGCCACGACGTGCTTGGAATGTCCGTGAAAGTTTTGTATCGTCCACATTCATGAACTATTTCAAGTTGTCCTTTGTCATTTATTGTCGGGTAGTTACATCGACGAAATATTCCAAAACTTACGGGAACAGTTTGTCCTGATTTTCCGTTGTTCTGAATAAAAATTTGTCCAGTTATCCAGTATGGCATAAAATATCCGACACACAAAGTCACAGACGAGATAAAGGACGAAAATGCCCAAAACACTCCTATTCCAGAAAGCCCAGACATCTTTCATCAGATACTATCTTACAATAATCAAATATGGTTAATTAATCTATTTATCTTTACATAGAGAAATCAGGGTCGATAAATTTAAAGGTATGATGATAATTTATCCCTGTCAGGTCTCCATGTGTTATTTCCACTTAAAATTAACAATAAGATCCATATATTCATATCATCCATATAGATCTGTTAAACTCTCAGTACATTATCTTTAAAACCAACTATTTATCCGCTTTGGATCATTAGTTAGGGTTTAATTTCTTTAATCTAAAGTTTTGTAAATAACAAATTTTTATTAGGTAAAATGTAGCGATATTAGCTTGTAAAACTAATACGAACAATCTTAAATCATCTGTACAAAAATAATTATTCAATCAGCTCATCAATCCTTCAAGAATGTTAACGTGATCTTCATTGGCTCAAAGTAGGAACGAAATAAAACAGCATGCCCTGATTTAATCTATATTACAGCCATTATTTCGATACGATTTAATTAAACTCAAGTGTTTCCGCCCTCTCCGTATAAAATACTAATATTTCCTGCAATCAGAGATATCTCATTTCAGCTTCTGGGGAGTTTTCTATTTCTCCAATATCCTGCTTTATCCCTACCAATCCGCCTTGAACAAGAGATATGGCCATTTTTAATCCATTTCTCTCCATTACTGTGGTTTAATGCGTTTCAGCTAAAATATTAACGATATAAAAGGTTTTTTTTTTTGTTTTTTTTTTAATTTTTTCAGCAACATATGTTGCCCATTTATTTTCCCCGTAATTGGTGCAGTGGGGTCGGAGAGCCATCCCCTACTGTACCTTACATTATCAATTCATGGCATATATCATCATACTATATTTAAAACATTTAAGTGACATTAAGCTCATTTTTTTTTTCAAAGTCAAGTTGAGATTTATTGACTATAAATTTCATTATTGACAATAATAATGGTGTTTGACAACAGTTGATATAAGAAAAAGTTTTGGATAAAATAAATATCTGCCTAAAACATAAAGACTGTCCCATACTTTTATTAAGTATAATTTTTCCCTCTACATATATTTCCAAAATGTTCCTTGAGCCATAAGAGTTATGGAATATATTGAAAAACTGAGACGAATCATGGCAAAAATGTATTTCAACTTTCACTGTTTATATTCACTATTTGCTTTGGATGGGCATAATGTCACTTTAACTAAATAGATACAATATTGATATGCTAAAATAATTATTAATAGCTAAAATGGGGTTTTTGTGAATTTTTAAAGTAGTCTATTGCTGAATTTACATTTTCCTTTATATTCGAATTATATATACAAAAAAAGACAAAGTAAAAATAACCTCGTTTTTAAAACAAAATACTAAAGATATTACTACACAGCAATGTTGCATATTCATGTAAGTTATTGAATTTAATAAAGCAACAGGTATATGGAAAAGGCAAAAACAAGTTTGAGGTTAGAATTCATCTAATTCAGAGGAAAATGTTTTCATTTACCTATATAAGTCTTCTCTAAAAAGTAAAAAAGAAAAGGTTGTTGGTGTAAAACTTGGAGGATTTACTTCCAAGTTATTAATATTCTCTAAATATTAGTAGAGGTCACTGATGGAAGGTCTGTCAGGTAAGTAGAGTGTCTTAATAATATTAATAATTAAACAAGGGGTGTCTACTACTTAAAAATATCAATAATTACATAGTCTCACTAACTTACTAAATTTTTAAACATTTCCCATGAGCGTTCAAATTTTTCATATTGAAACAGCTGTTTGGCACTGTATTTTTCAGTAGTATAAATAGAAACTATTTGTTTCTTAAAAATTTCCAAAGAAGGCCTTATTTTCTTCAATCTGTTATAGTATATGTACTGTTTTGCTAGCAAAATAATCTTATTTAGGATGATGTTTATATTAACATTCCCAAATAAGATATCAAAATTACTCCAATTAGTGAAATTTATATTACATTTTTCTTTGATATATGATTGTAATTGTTGCCAAAATTGTTTAATAGTTTCACAATTACAAAACAAATGTATTAAAGTTTCTGGCTCATGTTGGCAGAATGTACAGTCATTTTCTGTAATAATATTCATTTTTTTAAGAAGATAGTTTGTGGCTAAAATTCTATGGTTGATTCTGTATTGAAACCAGATCAGTTTTGGGTCTTTTGTTACTCTAAAAACATTACTATATATTAATTTGAAATTCAAGTTATTCATATCGCCTAAACTTATTAATTCATTTTTCCATTTTTGCAATGAATTTGGGTATTCTTCCTTCTTTTTTATCATTCTATATATAGATCTGCATCCTTTTTTATCTTTATTTATAATAGCCAAACCTAAAGGAATGTGGATATTGAATGATTTCTTAGGTAAATGTCTTATATTATTATTCAAAAGAAATTCATTTACTGCAGCTAAAAAACCTTGATATTCCAAATAATTTGTTCTAATATTGAATATACTAATAAAATTTTGCCAGGTGTAAAATTCCCCTTCTTGATTGATAAGGTCCCCTAAAAATATTACTCCCCTAGATACCCATCTGTTATAACAAACACTAGATCCTGCTACTTTAATGCCGGGATTATGCCATAAATTGACTGAGTAACTTTGCTGACAAGAATTCACCTCTACATTTGAAAAAATTAAATAAAAACTGTAAAGCACATCTTTCAAAAAAGGATTTAAATCTTGATGTAATTGTATTCTTGCGTAATCTGAACCATACTTATATATGTTATTTTAAAACGGGCATACACTTTTAACAAAGTGTAAAAATTACAATTAACTGTCAACAGTCTTCTTAGCCATGTTGCTTTTAAACTATACATAAAACACTTGAGATCAACCATCTTAAGCACTCCAAACTTGTATTCCTGTGATATAATATTTCTTTTAACCTTATTTCTTGAATCACTCCATAGAAAATTGAAAAACATTTGCAAGATAATATTTATTTTTACTAGTGGTGGGTTAGGAATACTCAAAATCAAATGATTTAATTTTGACAAAGCAAGGGTTTTAATAACCACTAATTTGCCGAGTGGCGTTAACACTCTTTTTGACCAGCAAGCAAACAACTTTTTAATTTCCTCAATTTTTGAGTCATAATTAATATCAACTATATTAGATAAATCTACTGAAAATTTAATTCCAAGAAGTGTGAAAAAGTTATCTCCCCATGATAAATTGTATTCTGGACAAAGTATTGTGCTACTGTATTTTTTTGACCCAAACCAAATTACTTTTGTTTTCTCCATATTTATATTAAGGCCTGAAATGTTTGCATAAAATTTTAAAGTTAACATTGTGTTTTTTAATGATTCTGACGTGCCATCTAAGAATAAACTAGTATCATCAGCATATTGAGAGAGTTTATACTCTGTACCATTAACACTAATTCCTTTTATATTATTATTATCTCTTATCAATATTGACAGGATTTCTGCGCAAAGAATGAACAGGTAGGGAGACAGAGCATCACCTTGACGACAGCCTCTTTGTAGCGAGAACCAATCTGACATGTGACCATTAACAATAACACATGACTCTATATTTGTATAAAAAAGTTTGATCCATGATCTAACAGAGGGTCCAAAATTAAAAAACTCTAAAACTTGATGCATAAATTTCCAGGAAACAGTATCAAAAGCAGCTGCAAAATCTATTAATAGTAACAATCCAGGTATATTATTCTTTTCCGAGTAGAACAAGAGATCATAAACTAATCTTATATTTGTCGCCATGAGTCTTACGGGTAAAAAGCCTGTTTGGTCATCGTTAATGATCTTTCCTAAAATATTTTTTATGCGAAAAGCTATTGAAGAAGATGCAATTTTATAAGATACATTTAGTAGTGAAATTGGTCTCCAATTTTTCAAGTAGGATTTATCTTTGTTTCCTTTTGGAATGCAGGTTATAACACCTTGTTTTTGAGTTACTGACAGTTCACCTATGTTATATGCATGATTTATTGATCTAACTAAAAACATACCTAAATCATTCCAGAAAAATTTAAAAAATTCTACAGTAAAACCATCATTGCCTGGACTTGTATTATTTGACATGCGTTTCAGACTATTCAACATTTCATTGTAAGTTAGGGCACCTTCAATAGATTGTTTCTCATTATCTAGTAATTTTGGTATGTCAGTATTATACAAAATTTGACTTAAACACACTGTTTCAGTATTTTTGAATTTATATAAATTTTCATAATGCCTCTTTGTTTCTGTAAGTATTTCTTCCTGTTTTTGTAAATGTTTTCCTGTTTCTGTTATTAAAGAATTCATAAATTTTGAGACATAATTTCTGTTTTCCAAATTGCAAAAGTATCTTGTAGGTTTCTCTCCTTCTTGTATCCATTTAGCTCTTGATCTTATAAATACACCATCCATTTTTTTCTTCCGTAAATCTAAAAGTTCTTTTCTTTTGTTTTCTAAAAGTTCATAATTAGTGTTAGGATGGGACTCAATATTCTTTATTTCTTTTAAAAGTTTATCTTCATTATTGATGTTTATTTTTTTTTCTATGAGACGCATAACGAATGGTGATTCCTCTAATAGATAAAAGAAGAGTTTCAAAAAAATAACTGGTCATTAATGGTTATAAAAGGTTGGTATGTTAAAGTATTTACCAAGATTGTATAATATTCCCTTCACATCGCTTCATTGAATGTAAGAAATATTGTTGTATGTATCATAACGTTTTGTCTTATAGAAATGGATGTATTATTTGAGCATAGAGAACGTTGCAAGTTTTAACTTATAACACTAAATATGGAATATGGTAAAACATCCGGTACCGCAGCATACAGCTATTAACCTTTAAGCGTAGAAAATGATAACAACTACCGTGCCTCGCAATAAAAAACAACAATAACATTCTATCTTAATTAATGTCTGTATAGTAGTTCATATGATGTATTTGAAAAGCTAATTAATTACTATTCAGTTAATGCATATTTTGATTTTTTTTCCTTAAATGAGAATAGTTTTGTTCAGATTGAAAGATAAATAAGTCCAGAAAAGATCAATGGCTTGGAAATATTTAAAAATCATATTTCTCAAAATGTACGAATTCCACTTCCTTAACAATTTAATTTTACAGTATTTTCAACGCTTGAAACGTATAAAAAGGATAATAAGTAAGCTTATTTATTTATTTGTTTGTTATTTTTTGCAAAAATACCAAATGTATACCTTCTACTTATTTCCTATTACTTTCATAACAATTCAAAACGAATCAAAAGAAATATTATCAACATCAATTATAAAGAAGTATCAAATTGCTAACAGTTGTCACATCAGATGTGAAGTCTTTTTTTATTTTAACCATCATTTTATATGGTTATTTATTCTTTTCAGCTTACTTTTCGATGTTTTATTCATGTCGAACAGCAAAAACTACGAAATTTTGTTTATTTTGATTTAAAAGTAACTTAATTATCAGGTTGAAGGATCTGACCTTAACAAAACATCTTTTCATTAGTCTGAATGTATTTATGCACCGTTTTGACATATATAACAATTTTTCATTTGTCGTTTATATCATTTGCTTTCTTTTCTCGTCATTCAGTATAAGTTAACCATTTGTTAGAATTCAAATTTCCCACCCATTAAGCATTTAGGTACCTTTTTGTTTGGAGGAATATAAATGTGTTTGTACATTGGTTTATTCATTGGTTTATTTCAATGTTTAAACTCCAACATGTGTGGGAATTATAACTGTCATTTAATATCAGAGACCTATTGAATCTCAGGAAAGGCTAAATGCTGCAAGCTGGCAATTAAACATCATACGACTATTGGAGCGGATACGACAATAACACTTTATTTATTTTACTTTATCATATCATAATTATATGCTAAACATTTTAGGTTTTCATAAAATTGTGTCGCAATATACTCATAAACCGTGAAATTCGGTCAAGACTGTTAATAAATTTATAAATGAATACCTGAATAGGGTCAACATTTATTTATACAGTATTTACCGTACAGGTAGCGTTCATATATGAAGTTTTGTCAAAATTACACATTCACCGCAGAGCAGTCTCTTTACATGTACATGTAGTTTAATTAATAGCAGCCGTCTTTAGCTGGATTATGATTGATAAATTTCAAGCAATATCTGAACTAAAAGTTGACACGATATTTCGGTAAAGTTTCTTTTTGTTTCCTGCGGCAGACACGATTTTATTAAGTCTGTTCCAAAGTGCAACATCACCCACACTCTCTTTCACCGGCTAAGCAATATCAAATCAAAGGCACTATACCTAAAGTTATAAATTCGAAGTTATTACTGATCTTTATAATGCCTCCACCCCTACCTTTATAAAAGCACCAAAATGGTAGTATATAAATAACACATGGGTTTGTGGGTAACAGTAAAAATATCATCCCGAGGAAAATACTGTTACCCTCGGCTACGCCTCGGGTAACAGTATTTTCCTCGGGATGATATTTTTACTGTTACTCACAAACCCATGTGTTATTTATTTTATTACCCCGAACAAAAATACTTTGATGATCTGTAATTGTCAACTAAATCTAACTGTAACAAAAATAAACCAAGAGTAACAATAACTAAACTGTCCTTACCTTTTAAGTTTTAAGTGTACTTTAGGCCTACTTGAGAAGTTTTCTTTTTCTTTTATTCTTAAAGCAAGTGATGATATCTACAAATCATAAACATACAATAAGCTAGGTTTTATTTAGGAAACAAAACACTAACCCATTTACACGGTTATGATCTGTGAAATCTGATCCTCCTGTTTCCAGAATATTCTTAGCATGGTTTTTGACAAAATAACGACGATATCCTATGTCTGTCCACCATATCTGTAACGTTTCACTGATTAAAATTGTGAAATAATCCTTTGTTGCATGCTTAAATCGTCTGCATGTTCCAGTTTGACACATAATTATTTACATTGCAATTACTTCCGTTGAAAACGGATGTTCACTTTTTGACTATTCAACAAAAAGATATTTCATACGCGAAAAGCACACCAGGGTGCGAACAACTAAATTTTATGAGTGTCATAGTTACTCCTGAGAAGAAAGGAAATTTTGTACCAACCACAACTTAATGTATCTACCTAAATCTAACCGGTGATAGAAACCAAGGAAATCAAGACAATCAATGCAACGTCTGAAATAAAGTACTGTCATATCTAAAACATATAGCACTATGAAATGCTTAGGGCTGCGTGTACCCGTGGATATGTACACATGTACTGTATGTGTGACATCGGTTGAACATAAATCGACTTGCATGCATAGTTTGTATCATTCAGTGAAAATTTGGTAGGTAATGGTGTCATGTACACGGTCCGTACTCTCAGTGCCCGAGGGGGCGGATAGACCCTCATTAATCTAGAACACATACATCGGTTGAACATAATACTGTAAAAGGTATTTCAGTAAACCAGAACTCTGCTTCATTAGTAGGATCTTGATAATTTTCAAATAATTATAATCTGATGAATAAAACGCTTGGAAGTATTCATTTATTACGATTGATTACAACGATATAATGTCATCGGTGCATGTATAACATCGAATGACAAATGCATTTATCATATTTGTTGTCAGATTTTGCATTTAAAATTACCTTTTGAATTTCGTTATTGTTCTAGTCCTACTTTCAGTCAATCAAATGTGTAAATTTTACATTTGTCAATTTAAACGACAAAACAATAAAGGCCTCTTTCTGTAACTGATTGTTGAAAGAAAAAGAGTGCCCTAAAGGCTGTGCAGTTTGGACACAACAAAAAGGGTAAAAAACCATTCGATATTCCTCGCCGATAACATAACAATCATTTACCAAATTATTTTATTACCCCTCACTTTTTTCGTAATGTTAATTTCCCATAGACCTCTGGGAGTTATTCTTACTGTTAATGCAAGTGTACCACGTGACTACGAATTTTGTACTGTTACATAGGTAACAGTATTTTTTAACAGTATAAAATCTGGTCACGTGGTCTATTTTCTAAATAAAATGAAATAAAATGGCCGCCATTTTTTTCTCGATTCATTCTTATTTGCGACGATAGGGCATCGCCGAAGTAACTCTGATAAAATTTAGTTCTTTGCACCCTAGAGTCCCTTTCGCGTATTAAATATCTTTTTGTTGAATAGTCAACAGGAAACATCCGTTTTCAACGGAAGTTATTGAAATGTAAATAATTTTGTGTCAAACTGGAAGATGCAGACAATTAAAGCATGCAACAAAGGATAATTTAACAATTTTAACCTGTGAAACGTTACAGATAGAGTTGGTGGACAGACATATGTAGGATATCATCGTTATTTTCTAAATGCACTTTGTCTAAAACCATGCGAAGAATATTCTGGATGCAGAAGGATCAGATTTCACAGATCATAACCTTATAAATGGGTTAGTGTTTTGTTTTCTGAATAAAACACAGCTTATTTTATGTTTATGACTGGTAGATATCAACACTTGCCTAAAGAATAAAAGAAAAACAGCTTCTTAAGTAGGCCTACAGTGCACTTAAACTTACAAGGTAAGGACAGTTTAGTTATTGTTTCTCTTGGCTTATTTTTGTTCCAGTTAGATTTAGTTGACAAATTCAGATCATCACAGTATTTGTTCGGGGTAATAAAATAAATAACACATGGGTTTGTGGGTAACAGTAAAAATATCATCCCAAGGAAAATACTGTTACCCGAGGCGTAGCCGAGGGTAACAGTATTTATACGAGGGATGATATTTTTACTGTTACCCACAAACCCATGTGTTATTTATATAATAACACGGGTTAAAACATGGCTGAAACGTTGTACTCGAGAAGAATGCTGCTTCTTACTTAATTAGTTTTAATTTCTTCATTGATTAGGGCTGAATTTTTCTTTTCAGTATATGTGTATACTGTGTATTCTAAGGATTCATTTTCTTTCAATTTTCACATTTTTGCTTTCTTCTATGAGCAAGTAGTTGAAATATTACGTGTAACCTATCAACACAAAATACTATCAAACTTGCATTTCACTTATGAAAAAATTGTAAAATATGGTATATACTAGTTTCTGGTAAAGCTGATTAAGTTCACAATGTCATATTTTAATACATTAAAAACTAATAAAGCATTTTTGGTGACAGTTTAAATGTGAATTTCTATATATAATCTAAATTCTAATGTCATTAACTGTTATAGAAAATGCAGAAATACACACATTTATATATATATATTATGATTATATTATTGATTCGAACACATGGCGTGATATGCATGTATAAGTTTATTGGTATTCTAATTATATAGCAACATTGCTGCAGATTGTGCAAGATTGTGAAATGGAAAATGAAGTTTTAGGATTGTTACATGAAGTCGGGTATTCAAAAGAACTCTCGGAGAAACGCGCCAAAATTTATGAAAATGCTGGAAAAGGAGTAACAATATTTGAGAGAAGAAACTTTGGTGGAGATTTTGATATTGTGATAGGCGGAAGTAGAGGAGACGGTACGGGAGTGTATTTAGACTGTGATGTAGATAAAATATTTGTTCAAAATGAAGTTAAATGTTTTGATGAAATCGGAATTGACGCGATCGATGCTTCTTTTAAAACTGTATTTCGATTAGAAACAGAAGGAATCCCAAGTGGTTATGCAAAACTTCGACTACATAGTATGCAAGATGGAGCAGATACCAATCAAACAGGCGACATATTGCAACATAGAATAAAACAAGCTCTCACCAATGTTGATGGAATCCAATATCTACGGAATGATCATACGCTATGCTCAGCTATTGGTCCCCAACCAGGGCAAGTGTCAAACAGTTGGCTTCATCAAAACATTGTATATTCCAAAGTCAAAGCTGGACCTTCTACACCTTATAATATTCGCATACCTTTATTGCAAACAAATTTAGAACTTGATGAGGCTCTAGCGTTTCGGTGCTCATGTCCTGCTATTGTTCATCAGTGTTGTGAACGAGTCAGTGGGCGCCAATGGCCTCCGACATATATTGTCCAATCAGTGATATCGCAAGATGCTTACGTTGTTCCGGTTGGGCTAAAAGATCATACTGATGAAAATTTACAATGGCGAATTTGTTTTACACTGACCGAGATTGCATTAGTACAATCATTTAACGACACCCAAATCAAACTTTTTGCGGCTTTGAAGCTGGTAACGAAGCATTGCCTTAAACCAATTTGCAAAAATATTACCACATATATCATAAAAAACATCCTGTTCTGGTTAATGGAAGAAAGTGAACACAGTCATTGGGAAGAGAAATACTTCAATGAACGGTTTACAGACGCTTTGCTGTATCTGAAAACGTCAATAAATAACAGAGAACTTAAAAATTACATGATACCAACAAGAAATCTGCTCCTCAATAAAGTAAGCTACGAAGCTATGCTTTGATTAAAAAAGTAGATTATCTGCTTATGGACGGAGTTAGCACAGTGTTTGCATGTCCAGAGATCAAAGAAATTATAACGATTGATAAACACGAACGTCATAAAATTCTCATAAAAAGGCAAGCTCGGGAGGAGGTTGTGTTGTCCATTTTTTCGCACCCTCCAGAACTAATTGCTACAATTTTTACTAAACTTGTTTATGGCGGAAAATGAAATCGGGGTTACCGAAGTCTTCACCGATAAGATCTTTGCCTATGTGAGGAAAAACAATCCTTTTGACTTTTTCCGTTACATAATTTCCATGGATACTAATTTGGTTTTCGAAACTTGCAATTTTCCAGATTGTACGATTTTATGAAACGTCTATTAAATTATTCAACAATGAGTCAGTGTATACATGTATTGATTATAAATATGACGGCTGTTGTGACCTATAATATAGGAAATGATAACATATAACATAACAGGGAACGTGTGAATGCAAACCAAGTTTTCAAAATCATGTCACTTTTATTTCACTAAAACTTAATAAGTATATACAACTTTAGGAAACAACAAAACAAATATAATGAAATAATATACATTTGAATGTTTATATAAGATGTAAACGACGCGTAAATTGCAATGATTTTATAGAGTGAGACAATTTTTTTGTACTATTCAGACTATTTGGTCATTCAAAACTATAAATGTCTTGTACTAAATATTTGATAAAATAAAAATACACAGACGTGGCAATATGCCGGGAAATGAGATTCATAATAAAGTGCCATTTTGTATATTTCCGATAATAAAGTGCCATTTTGTATATTTCCAATTCTACGCATAATATTAGAATGTCATTTGAACATGATTTCATATAAAGTGTAATTTAAAGGAAAAGTAAACATTTTATTCCAAAGCAATGGAAGTCATTCGTTCACCATTAGCGAAGAACACGTGATACAGTAAAGTTCTTGTGTAAGATATATGTTAAAAACATGGATATATGTGCGTGCACGAGCGTCAAATAATAGTTCTTATTATAGATATGTGTTAAACCATGGATATATATTCACGAGAGTCAAATAGGTGCCATTAGTAACAGCTCTTTTTAAACATGGACAAGTCATTCACACATCTTTCATTCTTATGTGACATACATATAAGTGATCTCAATTTCAAGTTTTAGACAACCATGTTAACACATATAAATATCATTTGTCTACAATAAAATTCATAGCACTGATATAAACATCTTAAAATGTGTAACAGTGCAATATATATGCCATGGAAAATCATATAAATTTATTAAAAAAAAAACATTGTTAGACAATTAAATCATGTAAGTTATGATGGCTGACTATGTAATGTCAATTCAATTGTTAGTACAGAGAGATGAATAGAACTGATATTGGCAATGATCATTCACTATAATATAGTTACGTAATAACAGTTGGTATTACATTATATAGACGAGTACAAATTATGCAAACAAAGTCCACTTGCCGTCTGTGAACATAGGCCTCCTCCATTAGATCTCGTACTTTGACACCCGTTTTAAATTGGTCAACAAAAGGTTTAGGCGCAAACCGAAAAAATTTTTTATAAAGGAGAACCCTTTTTATTTGATTCCAAATCAAAAAGGGATCACAGGGCTAGCATGAAATTTTTTTCCGAGTCAAAATTTTTTTCGAAAAACGCGGGGCCTGTACTTTTATTGTAATAAGGCAAAAGGGACATTCAATTTTTTACAAATTCATCAAAAATGGGAACCAACGTCTCAGTCATACTTTTACTACTAGTGTGCGGGGGGCGTGTTGTGTAAAATTTTTATGCTCTAAAAACCAAATCCTTCATTTTTTTTCATATGTAATTGCAAAAGGCTGAAGATCTAGCATAAATTTCAATTAAAAAATAAAAAGTTCTTGATGGGTTTTTTTTTGATGTCCAAAAATTTCAAAACCAAAAAAAATTAAATTGGGGATTAAAAATAAGCACATATAGTCCTGGGCTATATTTTAGCATTTTTTATTTTCTAGGGAAAAAAGTGCTTTTATTATGGCCCCGAAAATTTTCGTGCTAAAAACGATTCCCCGTTAGACACGTGTTTCCGTTTTGGAGCGTGAAACGCGAGAGCCGAACAAACCAATGTAACCACTATAGCCACTGCAGTGATGTAGAAACACCATGAAAATGAGCAATCACCTGAAATTAAACAATTTACACAGATGTTAACTTAGTTGTTTATATTTATATGCCACTCAGTCGTCTGTTTTACTTCACGTGGCTTGAATAGCATATGTAAAACACGAATCCAATAAATCGTCATAATCTTCTAAATGGTAATCAGTAATGACATGGTATAGAGTGATTCTGTTTGGTTCGGATCTACTCGCTTTAAAATGCAAGCTCTATATTAATTTAGAATAAAAGATAAAGGGATGGTTTGTCTCAACGGTTTGAAAATATTATAATACAGAAACATCCAGACACAGCTGTACCGTCCTATGATCGTATTTATAACAATGAGTAGTTTGATATTGAGTACAACCATTGTTTGTACTAATGTGAATAGATGTAGTATGTTAAATTACTCTACTATATTCTCGATCGCTTTTGTACATTTAAAAATAACAATTAACTAGTAAATTTTGTAATTTTTTGTTTATAAGGATTTTTACCGGGCAAAATGGGGGCCCTAGATCGTTTACTTACTTCGTGCAAGCGAAAGCCCAATTTACAATGCGATGTGGGAAAATATCACAAAACCATGTGAGGCAATTCGTGCCTCGGATATTAGTGGCCACACGAAAATATTAGTGCGTACGTGATAGGGTTTTTGTTTCAATCGATAGGTATAAACCCCTGGGGCCCTGATTGTGTAATACTGCCCTGCGATATAACGTGGCCACACAGGCAATTTCGTGCGCACGGGTAGTTATTATGTGGCCATGAGATAGTTATAGTATTACGATAGTAATACGTGACCATGCGTTACATACTACGTATGTATTATGTATGCGTGCGCATGAAAAACATATCGTGTGGCCACGTATTTTAATGTATTAGCTATTACGTGGCAACGTAATATCGTTGCGTACGAACGATTTACTATGTCCCCTTTATGCCACAGTACTTTTATTTTCCATCTGCCTGTATGTATATTTGTTTATAAACATACATATGTGTCAATACATGTTTCACGTGCTGATGAACCACTTTTATGATAATTTATTGAAAAACTATTATTCCATTTCATTTAGGGCATTCCGCCCTTTATTATCTGTAAGAAAAACAACAACAACACAACAACAACAAGAAAAGTCATACTCTACCAAGATTGTAAGACCTCGAAGTGTTTCCACATGCCTGTTGAATTTCCGGGCTGTCCAAACCTTTCGGATAAATACTTACGCCAGTAACCATTAGTAAACCTGCAAATTTAAATTTCCTGTACATGAATAATAGAATACATGACATTTTGGGACAATTAGGAGATTACAACATGTGTAAATATATAAATATTGATGCAGCTTTAAACTGTCAAATGAAAATATTTCTTAAAGACAGATATATTCTAGTTTATAGCGAGTCAGTGAGTCTGGCGAGCTTCACAAGTCAGAGTTCAATGTAAAGCTATATAAAATGACAACAAAGGCAAGATTCTTTTTTTAACACATGGCATAATAAAGCATGTTTAATAAACAGAAATATGTGATGATTTTAAATAACATTAAAAACAAGCGATATTTATCTATCATAAATAGATACATGTATATATATTATAAAAATATAAAAATCCAACATGCTGACTTTCTTTTTTAACTCAGTATATAAAGTATAACAAGTGGCAATTAAGAAAAATGGCAAGTGTCAGAGTTCACTTAAAGAGGTATGTTTGTTTGTTGACATTTTGACACATGCCATGTACTTTACGCAACATGTGGTTAAGTGACTAGTTTAAGTAGATTTGCTATGTGATCGTTTGCTTTGCTTATTATGAATGTAAATCGAATAGTTCGAAATAAGCGAGGTCCTGACACAGTGATATATATGAAACTTAGAGAAAAAATTTCGTCACCTAAGTGCAGTAACTGGTCAAATCCTTTTAAATTTAACGGAGTTTACCAGGTGACGAATTGCAGGAAAGCTCGGATTCTTCTAAATCAAGACTAGAGTATTCAATAATTTAAGAACTGTATGTTTAAATTTAAACATCAAATAAATATTGATTGTATTTAATGCTTGCTATAAACAACCTTGCCTTCATTATATTAAAAATAAAAGTGTAAAGTAAATATACAAATTCCGATAGTCAACAGCTATAGCATAACGAGTGTCAGGAGCTACTATTATATATTAAATTGACATTTTACGCATGTCAGAAATCTTGCAGAAGTCTTGATCCGTTAAAAGGCATTAATATTTCCATGTGAACCGTATATTCTCTCATGAACGCCCCCGCCTCTTTTGACATGGAGGAAAACTGAGTTACCAAGGCGATATTATTTTTCTGTTACTAAAAGGAAATAAGCTTCATTATTCAGAATCAAGCGAAAAACAACACAAACACAGTAAACATTTTCCTTTCGTTTTGACAAGATTGAACCTTTTCGAAAATGTGAAGAAAACCCGTACCTAGGCATTTATTAACGTATACACGACATTTAAATGAATAATTAAATATAAATATAACGAGATTAATAATGTTAATTGTTATTAAACCATCATAGACGAAAGCTGGCGCCTTGCAGTGTGATTTGAAAAAATAAATGGTCACATAACATTTGTCAATAAAATATAAATGTATACCTGAACACATTTGAAGAATTCCCGCCGACCGTGCAACCGTCGGGATGACCACGCCCTTGATACAAACGCCAAACATAGCAGTTAGTGATACGAGAAGGCAAATGCCACATGCTAGTCCATTAACAAGGGTGGTTATTTGCCATGACGTACTTGGAATGTCCTTGAACGTCGTGTAGCGTCCACATTCTAAGACTACTGAAACTTCCCCGGCGGCATTTAACGCCGGATAATTACACCGACGAAATATACCAAAATGTACGGGAACAGTTTGTTCCGATTTCCCATTCAGTTGAATTAACAATTGTCCGGTTATCCAGTATGGCATAAAATACCCAACACACAATATTGCAGACGAAATGAAGGACGAAAATGCCCAAAACACTCCGATTCCCGAAAGTCCCGACATTGCTTTAACAATACTATATCCCACATATAATTTGATCAACCAAATATTCTTAAAATATGTCAAAGTAGTGTATATAAACTAAATTAACATATCTGAAGTGTTGAACAAATTTAAAGTCCCCATTTGAATACCATCTTATCATATATTCCACTCATGTTTCCGGTATCTATCACCACTTCATCAATAATGATCCAAATTAAGTCATGTAGCAATTGGAGGTTTATTTACAAATCTATTCAAACGCATCATATACGTTATTTCCATTTCATTAACTACGCACACTTCTCGTTCTCGGCCGTCCGAAATAATCCTTATTAGTAAATTCAAACTCACCGTGATATAAAGGTTCACAACATTTCCATCATAATTATACTTTAAAAGCAGGGAATAAATGCTACATTTACGAGTCTGGATATAATCCGGGCAATAAAACTCAATAATCCACTTTCTTCTCTATTTTTTTGCTATCGACTGGCTCGAGTATCTTTAAGTATTACCCCTCCACAATAAAACATGAGCAATTTATGGGACCTCAGTTTATTGCAGGGACGAATATGTGTATTTTCATCATTTCTGCAATATAAAGTCATTCATTGCAATCCGTATTTGCACATTTATTTTCCCGCGCTTACATATCTTTATTTGTAAAATTTTATCTAGCTAATCCGTTTTTATCCTTTAACAAGACACTAGCTAAATATTTCATTTCACAAAACTAAACGTTAACAATACTTTCAGATTAAATTGTTTAACTTTGTCTGCTCCTTTAGTTGATAAGGTATTGGTCGAAATCCTGCAAGAAAAATACACGAACATAAAAAACTGATATAGAGTTATTTACAAATGCGCTTTACTAATTCATCATGTCCTAGCAAAAATGCAAAAAAAGGTTACACACGAAAATGAATTTTCATATAATTATCTTAATAACAAATTTCAAACACTATGAATTTACCCTCTGGAATGTACTAACTTTTTACGACTTAGAGCTTCACATATTTTGTCTCATTTACATGTATAATATTTTTTTTAGATATACATCCCGAATTCAAAATAATTATAATAATTAAGAAGCTTTAAATGTGAGCTATTTACGTCTTGTAAACTTTAAAATGTAATAAATTTGTGTTTAACTAATACTCTAAAATGCTTATACATAAACATATTTCATGTCACGGATGATTTGTAAGTTTACTAGAGCGTTAGCAACTAATAATTACATTTTTTTTACAAATAATGTTTTTATTTCACATATTGATGACTTTACAAAAATATTAAATAACACATTTAGAAATTACAATGTACAGTAGCAAAGCGAACAAACAAAATACCAAAAAAAGGAGGAACTAAAAATAACGCAATCTTTATTTAATAAACGTGTAAATATTTAGTGTAAAGACAAATAAGATAAATAAAAACATATTGTATAATGATATTAAAGTACATTACTATTTATCTTTTTATGGTGCAATTTTTATTATATTTAAGACACAGTCTATAATATAAATAAGAAAACTATATACAGATTTGATACGAAATTTGTAATAAAAATCAAAATATATATTTTCTTACCAGCAAAAATCAAACGGTTTTAAAATCCGGCATAGCTTGAATTCTTCAAGCGCGTGCTACCCTAAAAATGATTGAAAATACCTAATTAGGCGTAATGATAAACCAAACGTACACTAATCTTATACTAAGTGAGAGACAATACGTCAATCGCAACTTTTCGGTCCTTTCCGTCAGTCTTCGGATAAGGACCTCGAACACAATAGTATGAATACACAGAACGGATGCGGTATTTCGGTCTAACCTACGCTAAGAAACTAAACACGTAAACAAATAGTAAATTAATGCTCGGGGTTGTTGACAAGTTTATTTCCAAAACATGTAGTAAAAGTCCACCTAAAATAATTGAATTCATAGGTACAAAAGCAAACAATACATTATATATTTATTTATTATTATGGTTGTAGAAACCGTAAGTACAAAAAAAACATTTAGTCGGATTTGTTTAAAATTGTACATCAGTGGGCATATTTAAATTACAAATTGTTGTCAGACATATTTTCAATCATAAGAGTACCGAAACAGACATTACTTTTCTTTTGGATGTCAAATATATACATTCGTTTTACATTATCTCTGTTTCTGCTTACATATGAAACCACGTGGTAGAACTATTTTCAATCCGTATTGTTTCCGAGGTTATTATAGATAATAGCTGAGGATGCTCCGATTGACAATACGTACATTATCATAATGTCTGACGTTAACATCGGGAGTTTCCGTAAACAACATCGGGAGATTCCGTATGAAACATCGGAAAAGGAATAAGGTGATCAAATTACGTAAAACATTTGGATACATTTCTTAATTATAATGCAATATTGTAATGACAGGAATGCAATAGTGTTGATATTTTGCACGTTAAAGCAGCACGCCGCCAGATTCATGGTAATTTTCATGAAAATTTTGAAAATGTATTTGAATGTACAATGTATAATATTGTGAAATAACCAAATTGAAGCAATTTATACATTATCAATGGCACTTACAAACCACGTAAATTACCAAAAAAAGTGGTCAAAATATGCATAAATAGCCCTTACTGCCTTAGCAACGCTGTAGAAATATAGTTGTAAATACTAAAAAATCAGTATTTAACCGCACATAACATGTAAAATATAACTTGAATCATTTTAATATATTTCTCAAGTTTGATTTCAATGAAATATTTTGACACATCTAGAGGCGTACAGCTTTAAGGCTTATAAAGAGAATGCTTTCTAATTTGTGAGACAACAATAACAAAAATTAAGAAAACATAAAAAATACAGCAAAAACTTGTATATAGTATTATGACAGGTATATTTTCCTTCGTCAAAATAAAGAAACTTTTCTATTAAAAAGATGACAACAACAAATAACTCATACTGAAGTGTAAATCATTACATGAAGATTCACTTGTTCATGTGCCGCAAATAAAACCTAAAGGCACATTATGCCTCAGAAGTCAATATTTATATAATTCTCTAGAAATGTCAAACATGTGTTTAATAATGTTTTAATAAATGATTTAGAGCATGTTAGATGTTTAACAGCTGAAGAAAGTAACGCTGAATGTGCGCTTATGTGTCGTAAAGGTAGCTAAATGTAAACAAAGTAGTATTTTGACTTCTATACAAAACACTAATTTACCATAATTATGTTATAACCTCTGCCCAAATAGCAAAAGAAGCAAAGTTAATTCACCTATTTGGCAAATTTATGTATGGTATTTTTTTTTGAAACTGCAACAAGATACGAAAAATATAAAGAATGTTTTTTTGAGAAATAAAATGAGCCGCGTCACGACAAAACAAACATAGTGCGTTTGCGACCTGCATGGATCCAGACCAGCCTGCGCATCCGCACAGTCTGATCAGGATCCATGCTGTTCGCTTACCAACTCTATTACAAGTAGAGAAACTGATAGCGAACAGCATGGATCCTAATCAGACTGCGCGGATGCGCAGGCTGGTCTGGATCCATGCTGGTCGCAAACCCATTACGTTGGTTTTGTCGTGACGCGGCTCAAATGATGAAATTTCTAAGGCATAGTGGGCCTTTAATAGTATACCTAGATAAAGTATGCATGCCCCACTTGTAACTAGAAACTTCTACTCTGATTGTGATGTATCACTTTTTAATAAGTTTAACCCCATGTCTTAATTAGATTTATTTACCCATAAACATCTTATTGTTCAAATTTTCCCACGAGAAACTAAATTTGTTCAAGTATTTGTTTACTTCCAATTGTTTTTTGCAAGAAACAAATTGCAGATAACACATGTATTGTTTTAATTTGAAATTCGAAGTTTGCATTAAATTCATTTTTCCTTACTTTTGCAAAGTTGATGCTATAGGAAAAGTTGCCTGCTTTTAAAATGAGATTTTTTTTGACGGATTGTCTGATATGCAGGCTTCGTAACCTAGGACCTCCCTTCAAAATTCCATTGACTTATTATTAATTATCAACATTTTCCTTGTTTTGTGCACGCTTAGGGCATGCGCATTTTGTATACTTTAGGACCATAATCCGCTTTTCATTGAATGTATGGAAGGTATAACAACATAGATAGAATGAATAGATTATGTAATAATTGTACCATGCATAAATTAGAAGATGAATACCATTTTTTATTAGTTTGCCCTAAATACAGACATCTAAGACTTAAATACTTTAAAAGATTTTATTGCCATTGGCCAAGTATTTTTAAAATTTGAAAAGCTTATGTCAGAGCACCAAAAAAGTACAGTTAACAAAGTTGCCAAATATATATACTTTGCGAACAATTTAAGAAATTAAAAGATGGATGATATCGTGTATACTTCTCTGACTATTCTGTATGTTTTGTTAAGCTTCATTTAAAGTTCACATCAGTATATGATTGTAAATATTGGCTATATGCACCTTTCAGGTGTTTAATGCTTAATAAATGTTGTTGTTGTTGTTGTTTTAACTTATTGGAACGATATACGATAAGATGCAACGTACATTAACAAACCTTCTGCTCTCCATATAATTACGTCATAAAAGCTTGACTTCTCAGTGAGATATATCATATATCTGAACAATGAAAAACAAATATATTTTTTACATTAAACCCAGGATGTTTTTATCCATCTCCCCAGATAAACCACTTTTATGTATTAATGTAAAAACCTACATACCTGATTTCATTTTAAATCCCTTCGTTTAATGTTCAAAACAACGAAATGATCGTAGTTATATAGTAAAATATTTAATTTAATGTTCCAACAATAGAGCTATTAATCAAACTAGATGTCAAATCTATACATCTTAATAATTCATTTAAAATTCAAATATTTTTGCTCTCGCTTAAAAAGCCCTTAGGCTGAATATCCCATAGCGCACAAAAAACCCTCCACTACATGCGTAAATTGATTGTAATAACAAATTTGTATGTATTTATACAAAGGAGAAAACTGCGGGTGTTCCTAAAGAAAAAGAATCTACACTATTTATTTATAAATGGGGTAAGTAAACCTTAAATCTCGGTCATGAATCTCGGTATATATATGAATTACAGGTGAACACACATTAAGGTCAGATTATATTCATGACATTAACTATTAAATACGTTACTATCACTGTATCATATTAGAAACTATAAACTCCCGCAAACAATATCTATACCGTAGCATTAGAAAGTTATTAAAGGGTGCATGTCATCCAGACTGATTTGAAAAGGGCTTTGGTCCTCCTTTTGTGCAAAGAAGACCCTCCAACCCTGTTTAAACGGTTGGATCTAGAATATGGCGTTTTTTCGAAATTTTATGCACTTTATGTAAAGAAAGAAAAAACTCTGGTCCAAAAAATGACCATGCCATGCGGAAATATGCCGGACAAAGTTTTTGGGTTAGAGCTTTGGTCTTCAATTTCTGCAAGGAAGACGCTCCAGAGTTGTACAAAAACGAATCTGCAACGGAAACAGACACATGGTGTTTAAACGGTGGACTGTAGAATATGGTGTTTTTTTAACACGAAATTTCTAAGACTTTATATACCTACAGAACTAATAGCCGGGATAAAAAGCTGTCATTTTATGCGGGTCTATTGCCATCATGAGCCTTATATTGTTGTTAAGAATGACATCTAAACCATCACAATCTACTTTTTTTTAAGTACGTAGTGTTCATTTTTACAATGGCTAGCTGTGCATGCCGTCTATTTCTGTAAGTACGTGCTCTAGAGCGCATTCTGTCCAACAAAACTAAATAACATTCTTATCAAGTTGTGATCGATCAAAATAATGTAACACAGAATTTCAGGATAGTTTTGAATCCATGCTGTTACTTTGCAAATTTTAGTTGATCTACGATTATACTGAAAACAGCAAATTGCCGATCCGAAAACGACGAAGCCATGCGGAAATCTCCCGGACATATTTTTCAGGTTAAGGCTTTGGTCCTCCTTTTGTGCAAAGAAGACGCTCCATAGTTGTACAAAACCGAATTTGAAACTGAATCAGACAAATGGTGTTTAAACGGTTGGATCTAGAATATGGTGTTTTTTACGAAAGTTTATGCACTTTATATAGAGAAAGAAGAAAAATCTGGTCCAAAAAATGACCATGCCATGCGGAAATATGCCGGACAAAGTTTTTGGGTTAGAGCTTTGGTCCTCATTTTGTACAAAGAAGACATCCATTGTTGTACAAGTACTAATTTGCAACGGAATCATACAAATCATGTTTAAACGGTCGACTGTAGAATATGGTATTGTTTTTGCCATTTGTATCGAGAAGGAGCAAATCGCCGGTCCAAAAAATGACCATGCCACGCGGAAATCTCCCGGACATATTGTTTGGCTTAGGGCTTTGGTCCTCATTTTGTGCAAAGACGACCCTATAAAGTTGTACAACAACGAATCTGCAATGGGATCAGACAAATGATGTTTAAATGGTGGACTGTAGAATATGTTGTTTTTTTACATGAAATTTCTAAGACTTTATATACTAACAGAACTAGTCGCCGGTATAAAAAGCGGCAATTTTATGCGGGTCTATTGCTATCATAAGCAATATATTTTTGTGAAGAATGACCTCTAAACCATCACAATATACTTAATTATTCTACTTTTTTAAGTACGTAGCGTTCACTTTACGATGGTAAGCTGTGCATGATGTCTTGTTTTGTGTAACAGAACTAAATAACATTCTGGTCAAGTTGTTATGGATCAAAATACATGTATGTAAAAGAAAATTTCAGGAGGGTTTTGTATCCATGATGTGACTTTGCAAATTTTAGTTGATCTACGATTATATTGAAAACAGCAAATTGCCGGTCCGAAAACGACGAAGCCATGATGAAAATTTTGCACGATTGTCTTTTATATCAAATTCATCGTAAGGCGTCTACGAAACAATTATTAATTGCATTATTTACATTAAAATTTAATAGACATATCAATTGATGTATTTGTATAAATTTTACCGTTTTGCTATAATAAGATCGGTATTTGTTGCAAATGCTGATTTTGTAGTCGGTACTGTATAGGTCAATTAATTTTTTAATTATTGGCGCTTAAACGTTAAAAATTGAGAAAACAACTTCACATTTTTACGATAATTATTATATTTTTTACCCTGCGTATAAAATTATTTGTCATCAATTTGAGTCACTAAAATGAAATGTGTCACAATTTCTGCAAAGCCAGGGTTCATCATTGTTACTAAGTTTGGCGTATTCGTTCGCTGAAATAGTAACTCATTTGATGTGCAACCAAGGGTAGCATGCCTTGCAAGACACTGCACGATGGTTTAAAGCTACAGGTCTGTAGCAGCCGCCACAGGGAAATTTAATGGGTCTAGGGTTTAAGGGCATTATGTTTAGAAAGCTTAATAGTTCTTAGCAAAAACGAAAGTCAATTGGTATTGATAGATTCCTCCTTGTATGCTGGGTGTTGTAGAATATTTGATGTAGAACATTAGTTTGAGATTAGGAGAAGTTACATTCGAGTTGTTCACTTCCAGTACAGGAATAGTGTAATTTTCTTTTATTTTGCCAATTTGCCTGTCGGCTATATGAACAACGCCATGTTTGTTCTCGAAATCGTGAAATTTACCTACTGAGTATTGGTTTTCCAGGGTTAAAATTAGAAACAGCATCGCTTTCGAAATTATGAAAGCTCGCCAATGATTGGCTGCGTGAAAGGTCGCCAAAAATGACTTCGTATTGGTCACGGTCAGATCTAAATACGGAGCGTTATTTTAAGCTGATTTAAATCAGATTTCAGATTGGGATTAATTGAGCATGTTCATAAAATCATTTGTTGTGTTGTGTTGTTTTGTTTGATTTTAAGTCAAACCGATGCTGTTGTCAAATGGTAACTTTCCAGCTTGACTGGTGGAGGAAAACCTCAAACCCCTTTTTGCATTATGCCACGCACGGACTGGCACCCGAGGTAGAACCACCAACCTTCCGTCAGTTAGCTGGATACCTTCCTCACATGAAAGATTCCAAAGTCCCTTATTATATTCAAAATAGTGATTCAGCGGCCACTATATGAAACCCTCTTAATCCTTGTAAAATTTATTCGTCCACCAATCACACGGACATTGTGTTCTTGTTTTTTTTTTGCGCAAAACATGCAAAAAGTGTATTTATTAAAAATGTTTACAAGTTTTGATAACTTGAAATGCTATTGGTTGGATGCTTTATAATTTTTAGCACAGATGCAGTAGAATAAACCATCAGACTGAACCACCAGTTAGTTACATGGAGTTATTCTATAATCACATAGTTGTGAGGGAACAGAGATACACTTAACCATTTGAACAAGACTGGTACCCCTCTCTATAGCATTTATACATTACACAGGGTTTTAAAGGATAACATTTTTAAAGTATGACAGGCAAAGGTAAATTGTAAAAGAAAATACAAGTTCTAAATTTATTCTGAAAGAAAAACAATCTATTTATCATATAAATAATATATACATCAACACTTTTCTTATAAATAATACAATCATGTATACTTCAAGCAGGGTCTTTCAAATAGAATTCTATTTGAAAGACCCTGCTTCAAGTTAGGACATAATTACGTAACATAATACATGTATAATACATATATGTCCCAGTATTAAGTTATGACATTTACACCTCTTATAAATGTACTGATTATACCATTTCGGTGATTGGACTTTTTGACCAGACGATCGCTGGCTGACTATGTCAAATGATTGTTGGAATAATTATAATGAATAACATAATAACAGAGACGAAGATGCTATCTATATCAGGATATAATACTCGTGTTTCATAATATATAATACTCAAGTAAACACAGTAAACATAAAATCATTACCCTTCTTCCCGTTTTATAAGATATAATACTCTTCCTTTAGAGATATGACACCCTTGCTTCATAAAATATATAATTATATGATCTAAAAATAGCTACAATCTCATTGGTTCAAACGGTAGTCAACGGAACAAATCATAAAAACATATTCACTTGGTGCAGTAATGGGCTAAGATATAGTATATGTTTATTTGTTTGAAAGAATATCACGCTGTGATTAAAAGAATCAGATCTACACGTGTTTAGGGGTCTACACGTCTTTTTCTAGACTTGTGATATCTCAACCAATCAGTATGGCACTTTTATGAACGGTACGCGATATATCAGTAGAGTATTTTCCTCATCCAAAATGACAATTTCCAAAAATTTTCCAATTGCTTGAAAATATAAAATTTCATTTCAAAGAAAAAACATCACATTCCATATTTAATAAAAAGAAAACCATGAAAAAGAAAAAAATACCCCCAAAATCAAAAACAAACATGAACTTCTTCATAGACAAGTAACAGGTTACCTTGAAACAGCAAAATGTTAACAAACAGAATCCACAGTAAATAAAAGGGAAATGTTATACCAAAATATGCTAAGGTATACATTGGTAAATGTTAAACCATATAAAGAGAATGTTAAAACAAATCAACAGTAAATGTTAATGCAAAAGTTAATTGTTTTATTTACTGTAAATAAAAATAAAATGAATGATAAATAATCAAGCAGAAAAAAAAATAATGAAGTTGGTAATAGGTAAATGTTAAAGCAAATTACTAGTAAATGTTAAAGCAAATATAACTTAAATGTTAGAGCAAATAAAGGAATTAAAATTGTTTAATCAAATAAAAGGTATAGTAAATGATAAAGAAGAAAAAAGTAAATTAGGTAAATGTTAAAGCGGATAAAGTAAATGTTAAAGCAAATAACTAGTAAATGTTATAGCAAATATAACTTAAATGTTAGAGCAAATAAAAGAACTAAAGGAATTATTTAATTAAATAAAAGGTATAGTAAATGATAAAGCAGAAAAAAGTAAATTAGGTAAATGTTAAAGCGGATAAAGTAAATGTTAAAGCAAATAACTAGTAAATGTTCAAGCAAATATAACTTAAATGTTAGAGCAAATAAAG